CGTCTGAGTCCCATAGTGCCGAGGGCTTGGCTCGTACGGTGCGTCCTTCTCGTATTGTTCGTATTCTGGTCGCTATAGGCTCATTGAGGTCTGCGTCAAAAGCGTCATCTGAGAATACGAAACGCCCTGCTTTGAGAACTTCTTCAAAATCTGTGGCCTCCGTCCTCGAGTAATTGGGGTCCTTGAGCTCAAGTCGTCGGTCGATAGCTCGCCGAGTGACCATAGGGAGTCCTTGCCAAAAGTATCGATCTCGTTCCCGTGTTGAGATCTTCCCGTTGACGACGAGCCAGTGAGCTATGGGACGGAACTGCCTATAGTATTGTAGGAGTTCCGTCTCGGTTGAAATATCATTGTCGACATTACTGATCACTATTCGCTCTAAATCGCGTATAGTGTAGCGTTGGCCCTTTGCAGCACCCGAATACTGTGCTAATATACTGGTCTTGAAAACGTCGAAGTCTTTGCTCTCGTAGCCTGTCAGTGTCACCCAGAATCGTTTTGTTGGAATGTCGACGTATCGCACGATAGTTTTGCACTTCTCTGCGGGAGTAAGTGCACAAGCATCCGCTAAGTCCTCGAAGAGCTCGAAGAACTCCAACAATTCTGACGTTTCACCATTGAATGAGGGGGCTTTGCTAGAATTGGCCCCTGGCATGGCATTAATGCCTTTGGACGGGTTAGACATGCTTGATAGTACCGAGGTAGCGGGAAAACGATGCGCAAAAGGGTGCGATAAGGTGGGAGGTGCTGCGGAGATGGTGATGTGTGATGGTTGCGATGGTACGAGTGCAGCAGGGGCTATGACCTGGGTGATAGGAAGGGTAATGGTGCTAGGAACGGGATGTGCAAAGGGATTCGGTAAGGCGGGAGGTGCTGCGGTAGGGACTGTGTTTTGGACGCTAGGGAGCGTGGTGGTTTTGGCGATGGGAGTGTTTGGCGGAGGTACTGGAGCGCGAAGGAAGTCAGGTCTGGGAATAGGAGGGAGGGATTTCGCTGGGGGTGCGCCTTCGTTCGGGGAAGGGGCAGTGGGCGTTTCTGCTTCGAATACGGCTGGTCTTAAGGTGAAAGTCGGCTGAGGGATGGCGGGGAATGGGGAATTTGTTTGGAGGAGTCGTCCCACAGTATCGTCGTCCGATAGTGAAGATTCAGTTGGTCCTTCCGAAGTATCTGCGTTTGTATGAACGGATCTGTGGCGAACTGGGGTCTGGGGAAGGGTGAGAATCGTCGGTTGTGCTAAGGATGGGGCGGAAGGAGAGTCAATGGTGTTTGCGCGGGATCTGTTCTTCTTGGGAGCCAGCGCAGTTGGCTGCTTCTCGAGGCGAATTTGCGCGTTAGGGTGATAATACTTTGAAATAATTATGATAAGCGTGGTCCAGAGACCGGGTATGGGACGAGTCAGACTAGAAGATCAGTGAAGATCAGCGAATCCGACTCGAAGTGCGAAGGGGTGTTAAGACAATTCCCCTCGCGGTGGGCTCCAATGTGTAGTGCTGCTATTGAGTTCGATAAGGGAATGGCGTAACTCAAAGCGATAGGATTGTTCTTAGGATCGGACGCGAGCTTGTAGCGGGGAAATCAACCAACGTTCAAAACGAGTCTACAAGGCCGTATTTTATCTATGAAAAGGTAAGGGTCTTGGTTATTACGAAAGGGAGAGTTTGATGAGACGGAGAGTGGTGGCGTTGAGCCTGACAGGGTAGGAGTAACGGAAATGAGTTAAAGTATGTTAGTTTTTGAATGAAGGTAGTAATAGGGAGCTCGCCGTGCACAGGAATGACGAGAGCTGTTAGGTTTTTGACTGCTTTTTGGGACGAAAGGAGTGAAACTAAAAGAATGACGAGAGAGAGTTAGGTGATGAGTCCAGGGTATAGTATGAATGAGGGTGAAGGACCGAGCTGGTCGTTGAGAATAACGAGAAGATGAGGGTAAGGAAAGAGAATGTGTCCGCGTGACTCGGACGCGAAGCGTGATGCTTCTTCGCATCAGTGAGTCACGCGGATGTCGAGACGTAAGTCCTTGAATCTTATTATGAAGCCTTAGTCGGGGTGTAGAGGATATGGAATCCTTACATATCTCAATGGTCTTGTTGGTCACCACGGCAAAAATGGCTGTCGGTTGTACTGCGGCATCAGAGGGCATCATAAAGCTGGGTGCCCACACTATTACCCAGCCCACACAAGGCCCCCCAACTATAACATTGAAGGCTGCACCCATCCAGATGTTGATATTAGAAACTTGCCTACGAGCTCTCCGGATATATACTGGAAGAACCTTGTGTATGTGCTTTTGTCACCTAACGAAGCTCAATACAAGAAGCGCCGCTTAGATACTGGTATATCAAAACCAAGTATATTCCTTGGTTTCTCATCTGAGCACACATTTGGCGTTCCCAAGTGCTTCGGATCTGATATTATGCACCTCATTTCCCTCAACATTCCCGACCTCTTGATCCCACTTTGGCGTGGCACATTCGAATGTGACACTGACGATGACAAGTCTACCTGGACCTGGGCAGTTCTCACTGGAACTGTTTGGAAGGATTTTGGCAAGGCCATCACTGCAACTACCCCACATCTCCCAGGTTTCTTTGACCGCCCACCTCGTAACCCAGCTGAAAAAATCAACAGTGGCTACAAGGCATGGGAGTACACCCTCCTCCTGTATGGGATAGGTCCTTTGGTTCTTCACAACGTCCTCCCACTTTTTTACTGGCAACATTTCTGTAAACTCGTCGGCGCTGTCCGCATAATTTCGCAGCACAACATCACACGCAAGGAGCTTCAGGTTGCTGCTAGGTTATTTGTTGAATTTATTGAGGAATTCGAGCAGCTCTACTATCAGCGCAGGATAGATCGAATTCACTTCGTACGGCAAAGTATTCACGCCCTCAGACATTATGCCAATGAAGTCGCAACCAAAGGCCCACTCATATGTGCTTCACAGTGGACTATGGAGCGAACCATTGGGAACATTGTTGGCGAGATTCGTCAGCCATCGAACCCATACTCTAACCTTGCACAGCGTGCCATTCATCGAGCTCAACACAATTCATTGATGGTAATGATCCCAACTCTCGATCCTGACTATGGACAACCCTTATTTCCGAGGTGGTCTAAGGACCTTGGAAATGGGTATGCTTTACTGAAGCTACAGGAACGCTCTCGCCATGCTACCACTTTTGCTGAGGGTTCCACAATCAAGACCTTCCTTGATGCACACTATCCACATTCTCCTGAGTATGCCTTCTTTGATCCGCATTGGTGCTTCCGTGTTTGTCGTTGGGCTCGCCTCCGACTTCCCAATGGACAAACATGCCGCTCAGTCTTTTCACGGAGAGAAACTCGAGCAAATGCTCGACGTGCCCACAATGTAAAGGTATGCATGTCTTTAGCTCCATCTTACATTCTCACCAGTGTTTCTTGTAGCTCTCTATTGCAGGAGCCTTATACTTTGCCGAAGTGCTGTTTTTCTTTGAGATCAGAACTCACCCTGATGTACACGCTCTTGAACCTCTCGCTCTTGTCACCATCTACTCTCCTCCTGACCGGGCTCTCTTATGGGACTCAAGTGACACATTCTATTCCTGCACGCACCATGGGGAAGTAGGACTTAGGGTAGTTAAGGTTCCATCCATACAGTCCGTCGTTGCAATGGTTCCACACACACTTGCAGGAGAGGAAAGATTCTACATGTTTGAGAAGCCTGGGATGGATCTTGCAAACCTAGGGGGGATCCTTTGGGATGAGGATGACGAGGATCACCAGCCTACGTAATTACGACCTCAACATGGGGTAGGAAGTTTGAGAGAGTGGCAGGGTTGCTTGAGGGTGATCAGGTGGATGTCGAGATATTGAGGAGCAGCGTGGAGAAGGTTTGGGAGTTGCAAGAGACGTGGTGCAGGGGATCTCAAAGCATTGTGATTAGTTTGTTGACTCGTTCAAATTTGGTCAGAACTTGGAAATAACAATGGTGATTATTTCATCTGGTAAAACAAAGGGACTATGCATCCATAAGTGCCTGTAATTCTTTCTTCATCTGTTGCACAGCATGAAAACTCTTATCTGTCCCAGAGCGGTCATACATCTTCGCATCTTCCTCCTTAGTGAAATATTTCCAGTATAGCGAACCCGCAGGTGGTGGACTTGGAGTCGCAAATATACAGTGATGGTCAAGACGAGCTGCGGACTTAGAGGTAGGTAATACTCTGGAAATGTCGTCAGATTCTGGCTCCGTGATACTTCCATCTGACTCTGGTTTAGCCACTACTGTGACATGAGACACCGGTTGGTCATCTGATTCGGGTTCGGTGATGCTGCCAGTGCTGGGAGGGGCCTTTGAAGTTATAGTTGTAGTAGCAAGTGGAGTATTTGGACAGTCAGATTCGGGTTCAGTGACACTGCTGGCGCTGGGAGGGGCCTTAGTCGTAATAGTAAGAGGGATGTCTGGACAGTTGGATTCGGGTTCGGTGATGCTGCCAGTGCTGGGAGGGGCCTTGCCAGATGCTTTTTTTGGTGTGCTGAAGCTTGTGAAATATAACCAAAAGATTAATAGAACAGCAAGAACGGGAAGGTACCTACAGGTCATCTACCCAATCAATTTCTTTGTTGCTTTGAGTAGGTACCTCCTCGGAATGACCAAAGATGCGACGGCGGACAAGGTATAGCCGAGATGGATTCCAGTATTCACGGTCCAGAAGCACAAGATCTGAATCATGTAGATGAGGACTGCCAGAGAGACTACTGTCTGTGCAGTGGTCGAGACTACATAATTAAGACAAGAAGTTAGTAATGGTACAGAAGTCCAAATGACTTACCTTATGTCTTTGTCGAGATACTCATCAAGATCAGAATCTGATGGTAGGTCAAAAAATTGTTGCACAGCAGGAGGGAGGTTTGAATTCATAATGATAGGCATGTTTTGGTTTCCTGAAGCGCACTTGGACTTAGAAGATTTCGACACGCACAAAACAAAGGTAAACAAATTGATCGCTCTGCACCGCAATGAGCAGACCTGGAGGGCATGCATACGACAGTGCCCCATACCATATGACGTGTCTCCCAATGTATTCCTGTGATGCACACCAACTTCAGCAAGATACCTATAGGTCTTCTAATGATACACCTGATACCTACAGGTCTTCCAATGACACGCCTGATGCACTTCTCCCATCACCCCAGGTACTACATGCTGGATTATATGATGACTTCGAAGATTTGTCTTGCAGGAGAAGACCTACATCACATGAATTTGATAGGTATTACCCCAGTGTGAGTGATTGTTGTGTTTCTTCAATCGACAATACCTCTAACCAGTAGTAATACATTATACAGGATACATCTCACAGTGGCAACTCCTTTATTGACAGCTCCTCTTCACTGTCTCATGACTCTCGCCATGCTTCCAGCTTGCACACAAATTTTTCACGTGCATACAGCCAGCGGTTGGGTGCTGGCGCTTATGGACATGAATTAACAGATCGCAGTGAAATATCCTTGCTGAAGAAGGATAAGTATGATCTTGAGCAGAAGATAGACAAATTCCAGCAGCAGATTGTGTCCCTCCAGCAGCAAGTTGCATCCCTCGAGGGTAAGCTTGAGGTTTCAAAGCAAGTCACTTTTTTTACCGTGATTTATCAGGCTGATTGTTCTCTTCTTTAGCTCTATGTATGGGCAACTTCTCGAGCGCATCACCTCACTCAGGCGACAACAATAATGTGGCCCCAGATTCATTCAATGAGATGCTCAAGATGGCACGTGAGGCAAGTACCTTAATCCCAGCCCTTGACAGAGAAGACTACGAAGGTGTGTACTATTGGGACAAGGACGAGTGGACCAAGGAATATCATGGTGGCCGTGGAGTCCTCAAAGTGAAGCGCACAGAAGATGCTGGGTCTGCTCTCTATCTAGTCGATGAAGACGGTGTCGTTGCGTCTGTGGCTGTTCAGCAAAAAATTCGTGACCGATTGCACACCCTATGGTTTACTCTACTCAAGCATGGGCGCGCACCCACCTCATGGACCAAGATCGATATTCAAGCACTCGAATTTGTATGCCTCTCGATGTGAAATGAATTTATCCACTTCCGTCTTTGTGACTCTGACTGGAAAACCGACCAACTTGCAATCCGACATTACCTGCAGTGGACACATAGGCCAAGAGAACCTGGGAATGCCATTCAAAGTACCATCAAACAGGAGAATGTTCGTGAAATGTCGCTTGCAGCACCCACAAATTCAAAGCGCCCACAATCCCTTACCATTTCGCCATCTACATGACAACCGAAGAAGAAAAAAGATGACCATGTCAAGACTGCGACTGGATCTACAGCTCTCGTAAATTTCCTTGCGAAGCAGGCTAGTATCCAACCAAGGTGTGTTCTGCGACATGATCTGTGTGACAACTCCAACAAAACTTCCGATGCTCTCCCCAACATTACAACCAGAGCAGTAAAGGTAACGTCTGAGTCAGCTCTCTTTCATTATCTGACCTATACTAATAGACGGTATCCACTACTGCCAGATTGTCAATCCATTAATGGGGTTGTTTAAACCAAAGGAAGACACATGCAATCTCCCCCCTACACTACCTGCCAGCGCTAGCAGCATGAGTGCATCGTCATCGACAGCTGAACTCATTGCACACATGGCAAGTGCTACCGTTAATGATGCCATCAACGACGTGACCACTGTCCCTCCAACTTCCGAGACTTTCATCCAGCTTCTGTCAAACTCCATCATATTAGCCAAAGATGTGTCTGCCCATGCAAGTGCCTTGCCTCCTACCACTGTCGACTCGTGCAGCGCAGTCACAAACCTTGATGCAGACACCTCGACAGCACCTAATAAGACCGTGGCAAAGAAAAAGGACCCCAATGCAATGAAGGAGGTGCATGGTAGGACAACTGCAAAGTAGGTGTCCAAGTCTCCCATTCACTGTGAACTCTATGCTGATTTCAATCATTTTAAAACAGGAGTCTATGCGCTATTGATTGGGTTGCCTCCAACCCAGGCGGCACAAATGCAGCATTTGAGAATTATTGGCGAAAGCTCGGCAAGGACGAGAAAAAGACATATCAGGATAAGCTTGCGCTCACGCGAACAGTGAGTGTGCCATGCATGGTCAACAGTTCACATCACTGACTAGTCTACAGGCAAGAGCTTGCACTGTTGCGTCGCCTAGTACTATCACTGGCAGCGAGGTAGGAACGGCAGCGGACTCGATGGTATTGGCGCCACTCTAGACTGTGCCCAGGCTGTTCTCTTCTGCATAGCTATCGTCATTACCTCTATTATCATCATTGTCACATCACTGTCTTTGTATTGTTATGATTATGCTTCTCATTTCTGCATTGCTGTTGTTCCTGCATATCATTGTAGCTGTGTGTGTAATACAAGCACGTCTTATATTTTATGACATCCACGTCTAAACAGAACTATCCACGTCGTCCTATTTGAGGTAAAATCATACATGGATATCCACAAAATGGTTCAATTATCCACGCTCAGCCAGGTTTCCTAAGCGGGCTGGATCAGCATGGCTGAGGCTGTCGTGGGTTTTGACTGGGGCGTACTATGCGCCAACTAAAGTGGCAAAGCCCGCTACCGGGACCTGCCACCGTGTATCAGGTTTCCGGCCCATCCCGGTTCTATTCTATATACAAACAGCCTGACGCCTCCGACGCTCTTCAGGACCACCTAGAGTCCAAATCATAACAAATACTCTGAGCAACAGTCCAAAGATGACTACCTGATATTGTAGCAGCATCCGCCTGTATCAACTCATCCAACATACAGTTAACCATATCGGAAGATGCATGGAATCCTGCCGCAATTTCACGACAAGCAGTATAATTACAGTGCTGAGATCGAGCATCAAAACGGACACACTCTCCATGAAGAAAATATTGCAGCAACAAACTGCGTAACTCAGTCACTGTATAGGTCTTCATAAGATCCAAACCATGTAGAACACAAGCATCAGTAAGCAATGGAACATCAACCGAAAAAAGCTTGATGTGAATACCCGAACAATATGATCAAAAAAAATGTCACGAAGTATTGACACAGAACGTCTGTGAGACGATAATACCGCCCCGACGAGGGATGAAGACTGGTATGAACAAGATTCAAAATCAACTGGGACAACATGGTTGGCATGAGTTGCAAGCGTATACGAAGTTTCTTCCAAAAAAACATAAATGAGCTCAATAAGCTTAGCCCCCCGGCCCCCCCCCCCAAAAAAAAAAAAAGGATATCACCTTGTAAGTGATTTGAAGAATGAACAGAGGTCACATTTTCCAGACCAAAACGACACCAGGCTGCAATCCAGTTCATCCCAACAACCACATCAGAATCGAGAGCGCGCGTGACCACAAACTCAACGTCCGTGGTCACTGGTGAGAGAGCGGCCTTCATAGGATGCTGTGAGAATTTCGGAAAAAACCAAGCCCACACCCGAATGACCAAGCGAGCAAGCAATCGAAGCAGAAACAAGACAACGGGGCGATTCCAGGTTAAAAACAACAAATACAGGCAAGCGACCGACAAACAAGTTGATGATTCGGAGAGTGGATCAACAGGATGAGATAGCGCACCGTGCAGCGACAAAAATGGGTAAGCTTTAGATCGATCGATCAACACAGCAAATTACTGTATAAACACCTCGTTCTCACATAATCCTCACCTAAATAGCTTGGTATTCCCACCCGGGTGCGACAAGCTAGTTAGCTAAGAATAGGTTAATGCCCTACACTGCCAGTATTTAGCTCACTAAATGCTCAATATCTAAACCTCGGATAAACAAAGCCGTCAGCGGCAGCCACCATATGTTTGGCCACCACAAACATACCATTCTAGGCAACTACACTCGCAGCTATCGTCGGTAGCATCCGAAACCTTTGTGCTCATTGTCATCAATGATAAGCACCACATTCCTCTAGGCAACTACGCTCGCAGCTTATTGCTATGCCACGGTCGAAGAACAAGGGCCTCTCTCGTAGCGTCCACATCACTGAAGGGACTCAGCATGGGCAACTCAGAGCATGATATGTGAAGCAAACGACTGTGAGAGATGAGAGGATTGCAGGTCAGGGAAAATACAGGCTGAATACTAGTGGTGAGTCATCCTACTGGATCTATTCGTTTTTTCACACTCAAGAGCGATAGGACTTGTGGCTGAGACTCTCAATGCACTCAGTGACATGCAAGCGGAGTCTCCACCTCCTGAAACTATGCTTGATACTATTGGAGAAGATGTTACGACTTGGATGGTATCTGTTGGCGACACTCAAACAGAGTGTGTGTCGTCAACGGTCGAGGATGTCCTTGGGCTAGCCCAAGGTTAGGGGTCTTACTTGGCGAGGCTTCAGCAAGTAAGATTTAACGCCTATGTCCAAATCGGGTAGCTTATGTCAAGCGGGTGCTAGACGATAAGCGGTATCTGCCAAGGCTTACGACACCCGAAGGTTAATCGTAAGATCGTTGTTAATTAGAAGGACAGAAGTCCGACTAATGAACAGAGGGGCTTTACTCATCGACGAAGTTGATGAGTAAAGGTCAAGACTAAGGACTTATCCGCGAAGAGCAGATAAGAAGATAGAATATAGACTGCTGGCTAGGCAGAAAGGATCACTCTTGTGAGAGTAGGAGGTCAAGAACCAAGTAGATTCAAGTTAAGGAATATGGTACATGGTAGTGAGTTTATATAGAGGACAGGAAGTGTATTAGTGGGTGATAACTCGTACTACCAAGAAGAGTAAGCGGTGAAGGGTAAGACCATAAAAGGAAAGCACGTTCGAGGTGAGACATGAGTGAACCTGAACGTGCAGATAAGAAAGTGAGTCAAATATCGGAATAGGAAGTGAAACGCGCAGGGGCACAATTGTGCAACTGCGGAGCTAAGTATACATACACATGTGCGACTGCGCACCGAGTCATAGATCAAGAAAGGGAAAAGGGTAAAGGGGATGTGTCGTGCATCGTATCATAGGTTACCATCCGGATGGTAAGGATAAGGGGACTGTCCACAGGATCAGTCAGGTGGTGAAATGGAGCATGGGTATGCTTCGTCAGCGAAAGGATCCAGCCAGATGTACTGGCTTTGCTGCAACAACAGGTAGAGGGCGAAAGGGAATGCGAGGATGACTAGGATAACGAGAGTGAGGTCGGGGTACGGGTGTGATGCAAGGGCTGATACAAGGAGGATGAGGAGAAAAATGGTAGGGGCCCAAGCATCTAGATGTTCTTGTAACAGAAGACTATGGCGTTAACATGGAGTGGGAGACACTTCCTGACCAGCTTCAAGATAACGAAATCTTTCTGTATGCTATCCGAGACTTTGCAGACACCCCATAAGTCACCCTTCCACTGTACTTTATTCACACTCTCACTGTCAGGCATGCAGCTACGCAGGTCGCCACTATAAAGACTCTCGAATGTGGTACTCACGACTCCAGAATCTTCATGCCAACTGGGCATCACTTATCCCGTTCCTCGTCGATGCATATCTCACTTGGAAGGACTCAGCCAAAGGTCACTGCTGATGTCCCCTGGGTAGACCAGCTTCCTGTGCTGCTGAATACGACTTTACAATACACACTGTCGACATCTTCACATTGGAGCGGTCTGCATTAATCTCACGCTCAGCTGACTGTCATTCACCATCCATTGCGCTTATTTTACAAGGCTACATGGGTAATACACCCCACTCCCCATCATATGCTGTTTCTCTCCAGACTCTTGAGCATCATCATTTACTGCATCTTCGCAAGCCATCCCTCAGTGTTGAGGCATTTGCGAAGGTCATATGTGATTCGTATGGCGTAAGTCTTCTTTTTATTATATACATATTATCCCTCATTGACGCTGTCACAGATACCTTATGTTAGGACTTACCGCACTGTTCTATCATCGACATTCGACATATATATTACCATCTTATGTGAAGTTGAGAAACACATCAAAGCTGCCCTTCAACGTGACTTGCCTAACTGGCGTGTTTTGAATGCCTGCCCTGCCTGCACCTACATGCTGGAAGATGAACCCCTGCTAAAATTCAACCACATGTATGTCTTTGATGAAGGTTTTGTTCGTAGTAGGACGTGCGGAGCCAAACAGACGAGCTAGAGACTAGAGACAAAAGAGTGTATACTCAGTCGTACACTTGTGGTGTAGTAGACTCTAAACTAACCTAGAGACAAAAGAGTGTATACTAGTAGAGTCAGTAAAATGAATGAACTATAGTAGTGAATGTCTCACCTCAGTCGTACACTTGTGGTGTAGTAGACTGAGGTATTAGTAACTCTGTCTGTATGTACATGTGTGATTATGTAAGCTGTACTCGCCATATGATAATCGATAAACAAACAACAGGAGGTAACTCTGCAAAGCGCATGCTGACACTCGCCGAGCAACAAACAGGAGATTTACGTTGCTTCGGAGATAGTGACTACCTCCTTCCCCGCACTTTTGTTGACACATTCACAGGTGAAGTTCAACCAAAATCATCAATTCCTGATGAAGACTCAGCTCCTGGTATTGATGACCGCCTTCCTGTATCAAATGACGCCTCTGATTCTATTGCTGCTGACTGTAGTAAAAATTGGAAGGCAGCCGCCTCTGATGAAAAGAAGAGGATGTGGAGTATATTTGACGAGACTGGTATTTTCATCAGTGCATGCCATCATGGCCTCATCCTATGGTATGCAGATATGGTACAAAGTCGTGAGCTGTATGTCATTCTGATGTGGCTGTCAGGTGCAAGGCTAATAGTTACATGAACAGCGCCAAGTACCCTCTTGCCATCATTGCTAAAGTTCTCGAACTCCTCGGTGAATGCTCACTTGGTGCCTACGACATTGGTTGTGGCTTCTCATCCATGGTCATGGCCAGTAGCCTGGGCCCTCTTTTTAAGAACATGGACTGTTGTTTGTGCGTCGATGCATTTCACGGCTTTGCACATAACTATTGCTGTCAGACTAAGCACCATCCACTTGGGATTGATGGTGCAGGTCTTGAAGACTTCGGAACTATTGAACATATTTTTTCTGCGTCAAATGCCCTCTCCCCTGTCATTCAATATGCAAGCGCTTATAATCGGCACATTTTTCTCGACATGTTCTTCAAACAATGGGATGACGAGAAGTATGCAAACCTTGCTATGATGATCTACAACAACTACTGTCAAGCCCTTCAGATCATATCGAAAGAATTGGTAGCATTAACGGAGGCTATGGCATCACTCGGGATCACTGAAGAAGACTTCAATCTGTGGCATCAAGAAGAGGTTGAGTACTTCCATACCCTGGGACAGGAACTGCCATGGGATATTCATGCCATGGCATACATTGAGCTATTACTGAAGCATTGAGAATTGCAGTAAGTTTCTCCTTTGTTTCTAAACTACCATACTAACAACATTTTAGGTCTCAATGCTCTGCTGTGTCGTTGCGCTTCATATCGAGAGCTCCAGCTAACTATCAATTTAAACCACCATCACAGTCACAGGGCTCGTATGCTGCTGAATTATCTCAGACTCGCAAACTCGAAACACAAAGACATTATGCTTCTGAGAAGTTGGACACCATTCAACTTGAATTGGTTGCCATGGAAGTTAAGATGGGTATTACCCACCGCTGGGAGCCATCTTCGCCTGAATATCAGGCAACTATCAAGTATATTTGCACTCGAGAGTATCACCGTGCTTTGGACAATCTTCAATGTCTTGTAATCCAACGTCTATTCGAGCTTCAGTGTCTCAATGTTGCACAAACTGGTATGTTAGACATTCTGTTTTGACCATCTATTAATCAGTCTGCACAGCCTATAAAATGTACACGCAGATATCCAAGAACCTTCAGACTCATTGTCATGCAATTCAAAGTGCCGTCAAGAAGTATAACAATGCAGCATCAAAATTACAGCCCCCCTGCCTACCACTTGAATGGGCAAAGGTTTTGCATTATCAGTTCCTCGATGAGTTCACGCTGTTGCGTGAGACTCGTCAGGATATCCAGGATAAACCATGGGCCAAACCAGCTATTCGTGAGACTATGCGCCAACACTTGCGTATTCAACGGGCACATGAAGAAGTTGTCTGTTGCAATGTGGAGATACGCAGGATTCACACTGCTATCATAGATGAAGACCGCCACTTCTCACACATTCTAAAGGACCTTGATGATGCAGGGTCTCTATTACTTGTTGCAGCACACGATTTCTGTCAGAGGCGGCGTCTTGTTAATGCCCAGGTTCTTAGATGCGTTTTCCAGGTATATGCCCTTCAAGGGTTCACAGGAATCCCAACCCATGGCATTAGAAAATGTGCACCCACAACCGATGTCATCGAGCAAGAGTTTTCTCAGTTGACCGTCGGAGAAGAGGTAGATGAAGATGTCGAGGATGATTTTTTGGAGGATGACACACGTGCAGACATTGGAACCCTAGTAGAATTTATCTCAGACCTGCCATGTAGCCAGCTGTAGTTTTATTACAATATCTAAGGGCATGGTGACAATCAAGGCTTGGTTCTTCCTCCGCAAGTTGCATCTATCCAAATGGCACGTGGTGACAACCAAGGCTTGGTTCTTCCTCTGCAAGTTGCATCTATTATGGTGCACAGCGACAACCAAGGCTTGGTTCTTCCTCCACGAGTTGCATCTATCCAACACACTCATAATCCATGTTTTCATGGGTCAACCTCCCTTAATCCTCTTTTTGTTGAGCAGGCTTAGGGGTTTCTTACCTATAACTTAGCTTTCAGCACCACTCAATTCCTTATTGGCGCTGATAGATGGGCCGCTATAGTGCGCCTCAGTGCTGCCATTCACCACTCAACTCTTTACTCCTGCTTGATTCTAACACTCACCTCCGAGTCACACTCTATTAAAGGCTTGGATTCTTTCAACTGAGAAATATGGGTGGTTATTGGAGGACAGGCACCAGGGATTTTTGTTGATAGGTATGTCATTGTCAACTTCTTTTTAATAATCAAACTGTTCGCTCACTAGCTCTATCGCCACTTGTTTCCTACCTCACCATCTAGACCTCCAATCAGTTGTGGCTATAGAAGCCCATCTTTTCCCATTGCCATCCACACCAAAGACAAAAAGACAGCAGACACTGTCTTTTCTTGTCTACAGCCTATCACTACCAATTTCGAGACCTCGACGCTCCCGATCTTTGCTGCTCGAGAATTTTATGAATCCACAACTGTGTGCGCCCTTCTGTCTGGCAAAGTATCAGGGTTTTATTGTGTTTTGGTGGGCTATGAGTCCGGCATTTTTCTTACTTGGTGAGTCTCATATATTTCTTGTCTTCTACTAATCTAATGTTCAATCATTTGATATCAGGCGTCTCTGTCAGGCCAGCGTCACTCACTTTCCCAATGCTGTCTACAAGAAGCTCACAAACATGGCTGATGCTATGGAATGGATGATAACAAAGGCACATCGCACCAGGAATGCCACCAATCAGCTGTCTCATCAATTCGACGCCACTCGTTCAGATTCAAGCGCAATTACCAAGTCGTATGTGTTTTGATCGCTACTATGTATATGTAGTGCTTATGATAAGTAACTAGCATGTAAGGATTCCATATCCTCTACACCCTGACTAAGGCTTCATAATAAAGTTCAAGGACTTACGTTCCGTCATCCGTGTGACTCACTGACGCGAACAAGCATCACGCTTCGCGTCCGAGTCACACAGACACATTCTCTTTCCTTACCTTCACTTCCTCGTTATGCTCAACGATGAGCTTGGTCTTTCACCCTCGTTCATAACTATACCCTGGACTTATCACCAAACTATCTCTCGTCATTCTCTCTTATTTTCATTCCTTCGCCCCAAAAGCAGTCAAATACCCAATGGTTCTCGTCATTCCTGTGCACGGCGAGCTCCCTATTACTACCTTCATTCAAAAACTAACATACTCTTACTCATTTCCGTTATTCCTACCCTGTCAGGCTCAGCGCCACCATTCTCCGTCTCACTGAACCTTCACATTCGTAATAATCAAGGACCCTTACTCTTTTGTAGATAAAATACGGCCTTGTAGACTCACTTTGAACGTTGGTTGATTTCCCCACTACGAACTCATGTCAGATCCTAAGAACAGTCCCATCGCCTTGAGCCACGCAATTCCCTTATCGAACTCAATGTCAGCCTTATAAGCATGATGTAGCGAAGGTTGCAGCGTTGGGCTCAAAACCACGTATTTCCATACTCACGTCAACACCCGAAACATATGCGCACATGTCCGATGCACTTTTGCACATGTCCGAGCCACTCCGTATCGGATCCGGCGCATCGGACCTTCGGATATCGCATCAGCTGATTGCACTTCACACGCACTTGTCCATCCCGTGTCCTGTCCATCTGAATTAGCCTCACTAGGTGCATAGTTATTCCCGTGCACATTTTCTGACATTCGGACTGCGTTATTACATGTCCGCAGTACCTCGTGTCTTATTACATAGGATATCGGACCCGAAATATATCGCTACTATCTTCGCCTGTAGTTTTCCGAATTTCTACATACTTACTTAAATACTCTGTAGTGACCCATAGCAATCATCATCCAGTAGTTAGGAGCTATTTCCCGACTCTGCAGATCACCCAGAATATTCTTGTAGTTCTTAGTTGCATTGCAAAATATTTCCATTCATTCACTGTCATACTCTGTCACTTGTTATACTCGCGCATACCGCTCACAATCCAACACTCGTTATAAAGTTTTCGACCTATTATCGTGAAGTCCGAAAGTCCGAAATCTCGGGCATCGCACTTTGGCTTCGGACATTGGATAAGTACCTTTGGACATCATCAGATTACCTTTGGACATTGTTTCGCACCATCAGACATTTTGTTATTCACATTACTGACACATTTTTACTACTAATACCAATTAGCAATCCCTTTAGGATCGAACACACTTGCTCTGCAAGTATAGCAGCATAGGTTGTGCTTGTTACAAGAACATCTAGACGCTTGGGCCCCTACCATTTTTCTCCTAATCCTCCTCGTATCAGCCCTCGCATCATACCCTTACCCCGACCTTACCCTTGTCATCCTTGTCATCCTCGCATTCCCTTTCGCTCTCTATCTGTCGCTTCAGCAGAGCCAGTACATCTGGCCGGATCCTTTCGCTGACGAAGCATACCCATGCTCCGTTCCACCACCTGACTGATCCTGTGGACAGTCCCCTTGCCCTTACCAGTCTGGACGGTAACCTATGATCTGATGCACGATGCATCCCCTTTGCCCTATTTCCTTTCTTGATCTCTGACTCGGTGCGCAGTCGCACATGCGACTTATACTTAGATCCGCAGCTGCACGATCGTGCCCCTGCGCGTTTCACCTCTTATTTCGATCTTTGACTCACCTTCTTATCTAGCACGTTCTACCTCGACCAAACGTGCCTTCCTGTTATGGTTATACCCTTTACTGATTGCCTCTCCCGGTAGTACGAGTTATCACCCACTAATACGTCTCCTGTCCTCTATATAAACTCGCTACCATGTACCATATTCCCGAACTTGAATCTACTTGGTTCTTGACCTCCTACTCTCACCAGAGTGATCCTTTCTGCCTAGCCAGCAGTCTATATTCTATCTTCTTATCTGCTCCTCGCGGATAAGCCTATAGTCTCGATACTTTACTCATCGACTTTGTCGACGAGCAAAGCCCCTGTTAACTAGTCGGACTTCTGTCCTTCTAATTAACGACGATCCTTATGATTAACCTTCGGGTGTCGTAAGCCTAGGCCGATATAGCTTATCGTCTTGCACCCGCGTTACATAAGCTACCCGATTTGGACATAGGCGTCAAATCTTACTTGCCGACGCGTCACCAAGTAAGACCCCTAACCTTGGGCTAGCCCAAGGACGTCCTCGACCATTGACGACACAAGCTCTGTTTGAGCGTCGCCAACAGATACCATCCAAGTCGTAACAGTGCTAAGATCTACCTAAATATTTGTTGTCTAGGTAGTACGATTTCTGCTGAGCCCAGCGGAGATCAGCTTTCTACAGTGAGTAGAATCTTCCTTTTGTCTATGGACTGGAACTATGCAGCCCCCTCATCATCTGTGTTCCACTCTTGGTGCTACTCATGTATGGCGTGTTCCCCAAGCCGAAAGCCAAGCTCTGCCATCCGATCAGCCACCTATTCAACCTGTTTATCAGCATATATGAGGCATCTCAGGTATTCAGGGTAGTGTTTCTGAGCCTGTGTTTGATGACACACCCCTCCCATCATTCAGGGAACTTGCGGATCACTATCTTCAAACTCATGGATACTCCGTGCATGCCATCCTGTTAATTGCACACATGTTGGACACCACTGCTACTTGCATGGACTTTGTGAATGCTATATCATCTCATGGTATGCCTGTTATGGAGGTATATTTTTTGTGGGCTTTGATCAACATCGGCCAAGGGACAACAGTGACTACTTAGTACCACTACAGGTATATTTTCAGTAGGCTTTGATTAATGTCAGTGAATGGATGACAGTGACTACTTAGTGCCTTGAATATTAGGATCACGTGTGATATGGTATGATGCAACATTTTTTTCTCTGTCCATTATACACTTGCAAAACAATGTCCTCAAATAACAATGGAGCTCGCTACACTGCAGCAATGCAAAAAGTGCACATCAAATGGTCCTCCGAGCAGAAGGCTGCCTTGAGAGCCAAACATGCTCAGCATCACATTGACTATGGCACCACATTGAAGGAGGCTAGGGAGGTTGTTCAGTATCAAGCTGAAATGCTTCACGAAAAGTTTGGCAAGCACAGTGTTAACTATTACTATCAAGAAATTATGCAGAAGTCATGTCTCGTCACTCAGAAGTGAAGTGTTAACCGCTGGAATGCCTTTCTATCTGGTAAACTCAAGGAGCACAACAAGGGTATGTTTTTTGCAGGATGTTCAAATGTTCATTTACTAGTTATAGCTCACTATGTGGCATTATAGAACGTGAAAAACAGGGCTTAAGCAAAGAAAAAGTCCATGTGATTGCAGCGGAGGTTTCGGCTCAGTGGAAATGTATAAATAAGGAAGAACGATCAGATGCTACTGATGATCTCATGCAAAGTCTCACTGATCAATGTGAAATGAAAGATTTGGCTCTTCACAATGTACCTCTGAATGCCTTCCAAGATGGTAGGAAGACTCTCGACTCAATTGATCGCAAGGTTTGTTTTATTTTATTTTAATACAAAGTCCTGCATCACTAATGATAAAGCTCAGCTATCAGCATTAAACGCCCGCACAGGAATGGAGATTTTATTATTTGCAGTTCGCTCAGACGTCGAGCATTTCAATCAACCTCACATATTTCAAACATCACACACTTCTGCCTTCTTTGATGCCTGTCTTGGAACTTCTGTGGGCAATATAGCCCTTTGTCTTGAAGGTTTCAGCATCGCCGGTGTACAGGGTATGGCAAAAACTCATGTTCAGGAGGTCCTTGAATGGAAGAAGAAGACCGGTGAACTCATTCACAAGAAACTTCGTGAGTTGAACAGGCTTTCACATTTAGTGTCATTACTAACGAAAATACTACAGAGGAGACAGCCGCGCCCATCAAGATATCGAGGATGTACTACATCAACTTCGACAACAATATTACAATGAAGCACCATATTATTTTGAAGAATTGGCCGCTCTCAAAGTTCTGTTGCCCGGGTGACATCAGCTCTCTCAATGAACCCAAAGTTTTATTCTATGCTTTTGACACCGGTGCTGCCTCTTTTCAGAAACTTACGGATGCCAAGTACGACCAGTGGTCAAATGAACATTTCCAAGCCGCATTAGCAGAGCAAAATGGGTGCACAACCGAAGACATGCCTAATGTTGATGAACAAGATGAGGATGAGGGAGCAGGAGGGATAGGGAACAATCATACAGCACTATCTGAGACTGATATCAATGCAATTGTTGAAGCGGCTCCTAAGCGCAGGACGAAGTGGAGGGCTGCTGAGCTTATCAACACAGTTACTACTAGCTCGGGGGCTGCACTTCCAGTGCAGAAGAAACTGCATGCTCCCAGGAAGGACAAGGGTATTCCCCATGGCCCAAGGAAGAAGAAGATGGCCCAACTTACAGCTGCTCCTTCCCATGATGCGAGCATTGTGTCCCCCACTGCAACCCATACCCCTTCAAACCCTTCAACCATGGCCATGACACCATCAGCTGAGCCTGCCATCTGAGATTGCAGGGCCCCCTTCAAACCCTTCCACCATGCTTGTGCCAAATGCCGAGTCCATTCAGAGGCCCTTTCTTCAACCGTGACATAGCGATATGGAGGGATAGATGGTGGTGGAGAGAGCGATGTTAGTTCCACAGAAATCGTGTTGTTGTAGCTATAGAACATCTGTGCAGTGTTTTCAGTGTGATTGACAGAAAGAAAAAAGAAGAAAACATACGAGAAATGCTGGACATTGTTGCAAACAATGAGGACAAGGGAGCTTGGATGATGCTGACAGTGTTGGCGGCTAGAAAGATGCAGCGAGCACACCCGACGATTACCTAGTATCATGTGCAAATGTGGTTCCTTATAATAAAAAGTTCTGTAAAAATATGTTATAAATTAAGAGGAATGTGGTGCTCATCATTGATGACGATGAGCATGAAGGTTTCGGATGCTACCGACGATAGCTGTGAGCGTAGTTGCCTAGAATGGTATGTTTGTGGTGGCCAAACATATGGTGGCTGCTCTAGAGATTAGAGGTAGAGCGGGATAGAAAGGATCTAACAGGTAAGAGCAAGTCTCAGTCTCTAGCAAGAACTCATATTGACGAAGCATGTACCTAACAGGTAAGAGCAACTACGCTAAGTCAGTTATATGTAACAATAACGGTAAAGGTGTAGACTCACGTCTCAGTCTCTAGAAAGAACTGAGACGCTCGCAACGGTTGGGCGCTAGTATTTATACGGTAAGCGCTCTCAATTATTTTGAAGGTAAAAATTTACTTTGGACCATTTCGGTCCCAACGTCAACAGGTACTCCCTGTTCCTTCCATCCCCGGCACACTTCTTGCGCTCGTACCCTCTACTCCTCCTCCCGTTCCTCTCCGGCTTCGGTATCTTTGGACTCAGCAGAATCGGATGTCAATAGCTGCCGCTGACGGCTTTGTTTATCCGAGGTTTAGATATTGAGCATTTAGTGAGCTAAATACTGGCAGTGTAGGGCATTAACCTATTCTTAGCTAACTAGCTTGTCGCACCTGGGTGGGAATACCAAGCTATTTAGGTGAGGATTATGTGAGAACGAGGTGTGTATAAAGCGAAAAAAAAAAAAAAAAATAGGGTCGCCAAAATCGGATGAATCTACCGCCAAAACGTGGATTCTGCCATCTGCCAAGCAGAAGTGGTTTGGCAGAACCAGCTGGGAGAATGTTCCGCCCACAATTTCAAGTGACCAACCTGCTAATGATATATGCAAATTGTAATAAGGGAGCAACAAATGAGAAAAAACGGTAGATATCGACCGAGTACAAATCAGAAGCATCAACAGGAATGAGCTTCAGATTTCGTGTTATGATGCGAGTGACATAATCATCCATCGACCGCGAGTAGCAGAGATTCGGACTGTCTGGGTTTCGAGCAATATAAGTATATACTGAAGAAGGAGCCAAAAATAATCATATCCTATGGTGCGACAACTTTCCGTCTGTAGTCTCCCACTCATATTCCTCTCGCTAAGACTTCTCCACTTTGTCGCTGTGCCAGCAGGGTCGGTGCAGGTTCAAATGATGAAGCGATGTGTAACAGGTGGGGATGAGAGCCCTAGGATCCGAGCAAGCGTTCTGTGGTCACGGAGAAGAGGTTTGTCGATGTTGCCAGCAGGTTCTACTAAATTTATACCATATGACAGCAATAACAATTCTGCCAAATCGATCAGAACTGTTTCAATAATGATATACAGGGTATAAAAGCTGACCGTCGACCTACAGTGTTTCCCCATCCTCAGGGAAATCATTTGAGAACCCCTTCATAAGATTCCATATCACCTCGTACAGAATGTGTTTATCCAACCTCACCGTTGTTATTGCTTTGACAGCATCTATGTTTGTGGGTGCATGCAAGTCCCAAGGAAAATCTTGCGTATCAAAAAGCGAATGCTGCGATGACATGATTTGTGGGACTAATGGCGTGAGTATACGCAGGTTACTGTGTAACCAGAATTCAACCATAACTCACCACCTGCGCGCCTTAGCCTGGAGGTAGGAAGTGCTATCCATGGAACGGTGGAAATTGAGCCGGCAGCCCAAGCAGCATGTCATGACAGTGAGTCATGCTTCTGCTTTCGTTTTGGTATCCTAGTTGATGGTGCAATACCTAGTTCGGAGCTAATTGATGCAGTTATTTTTGGACAAATGTTCATACTGCTCGACAATATTAATGTGGATGTCTGAATCTGTCTGAAAATGATCGACCGTGTCTAATCCTGCTTGTGGTCCACTAAACTTGAGTTCAAGACACTGTCAAAGTGCAATCATTGCTGTTGATGATTAACATTGGGAGGCCATACAAAAATGGGACGCACTGCGCAGGTTGAATTTGTCCGTCTAACGTTGACCTCCAGGCTGTCAGTAAACTTGTGAACAGATGAGATCCTGAACTACACTTTGTAGCGGGGCTGGCGACTGATATGAAGTATTCATTACCCACGTTGGCCAGAGGAGTGCTATGGCCGCCGTGCTTTAAGAAGTGGTCTTTAAAAGCAGCGACGCGAGTTTTATCCTGCTGCAAGAGATTAATGGTACCATTGGAAACATTTAGCCTTTGGGTGATGGGGGAATTGCGAACTCCAACGGCGACAGTGGTCTATTATATATGCGCTGGCGAACGCGAATATTGGGCATCTTGGCCATGTATGAAACATCTCCTTTCAAAAAAGCGATAACAAAATAGTGGCAGTCTGAATATCACGAGTGCAAGGATTGACGTTGGTTTTTAATCCAAGGTGGCAAGAATCTACAATTCTCCAGTTTACCCATGGTTCATTGGTTCATTGGCTTACCTCACGTTCATTTCCATAGAGACGCTCGCCCAAGAATACGCCTCAGCATAAAGTCAGTGTCAGGTTGGTGTAGCAAGCGTTACTGAGGAGAGCAAGTTGAACCTATCCCGGGCTGTCCATGATCGAGTTGTTGAATTGATACCATGTGAGGGTATAGTACATACTAGTATTCGCCAACACAGTGTTTTTGACAAAATCCAAATTTCATCACATTGTGTACGATTATGATTATATGATAGTATAAAATATAAAATAATATTAATGTACAGGCTTGCGTGATTCCTTCTCCGAGTCAGACTGGTATCTTTCCATCAGTGCTCAATTTGTTTGCAGAGGGTTGGAAAGACTTATATGATATGTCTGGGGTGAAGACATGTCATACGCTAACAACGGTTTGGGTGAACATGTCAGGTAGGAGAGGACGAATTTCTCTACCACTCCAACGGGAAGCAACCAGTTCAGAAAAGATGCAATTGTCATCAAATTGTCATGCAATCCGGACTCGGAGGTGAGTAAGCCGATCTAATTTGTGCCAGCCTAGTGTTGTGGAAGTCCGGTTTGGTCCGGTTCAGCAACAAATTTTGCGAACACTGAACCAGACCTCATGTCCGGTTCAATCATTTTGCTGAATGCTGAACCGGACGCCATGAACGCGTTCATGGCGTCCAGTTCACGTCCGGTTCAGTGTTCGAACATCAAACGCATTGTAAATATACTCGATTGTACTATAGCTAGTAGTAAGGAGTACTGGTACACTACTGTGAAGCAGACTTGGAGGGGGTGATGCCGTCGATATCTGTCTCATGATCCATGTCAGTAGCTGCATCCGTAGTTACCCCGTTATTCTGGTCTCCTTCACAGTCACTTTCCTCCTCAGAGCCCTCACTCGTGACCACTGACCTGCTAGCCTTGCGTTTGTGCAAGACAGCGTTGTTGGGGTCAACAAGCTTGGGTGCAGGGCGTGGGATACGAGTCGAGTGACATGCCTGAGCAGGAAGCACAGGCAGTGGAGTATTGTTGCCGGGATCGTTGTACCATCAGATTTGACTGGCGTCGAGGAGAGTTCCATCTGCACCCAGACCACACTGGTCAGCCATGTTGTGAGGGGGAAAGCTTGAAGAGAGTTGAGCTTACCTTGAATTTGATCCATTTTAACTTCCATTGAGTTCATGAGTGCCAAACAATTCATGTAGCTACCCTAGAAAAAAAACGACCCGTTAACAAATACATTAGCACTAAACCAAATTAACCAAAGTCTCCATACCTTATCAGGTTCTTCCTTTGTAATGTTTGGGTTAGTGGTAGGCAAACAAACCTTCACGGACCTTGCCAGTGTGGCATGGTCCTTGTGAATCGGATTCCAAGCGAAAAAGTCGCGAGTAATCATGTCATGTTCAGTGTATTGCGTGTGTGGGTGATGTCATCTCGTATGTGTGAGTAGCCTAAAATGGAAGCAGTTCAAAAAGGTTCGGACGCGTTCGGACGCGTTCAACGCGTTCAAGCAATGCTGAACGCTGGACTGGACCATCGGTCCAGTTCAGCCTATACTCTGAACGTTGAACTGGACCGTGGTCCAGTCCACGAAAGGTCCGGTTCGAACCGCGGTTCAGAACCGAACCTCCGCATCACTATGCCAGCCACGACTAAACTCACAGCAAAGAGAAGCAGTGAGGTTGACTCGTTCGAAACGACTAGTGACAGGTACTATGGCAGCCATACTGACGGCACCATAACGATGCAGATTTTGAAACAGCGAGATTATTGAACACTGCAGTGACATCATGATAGAGCGGCGTTGACGTTACAATGAAACCTACTCAAAATACTCCCGTCGCGGTATGCTGCAATATTTGTTACTTGTTGGCAGGAGGCCAGGTAAAAATCCACTAATATGAAGTAGTGAGCATGTATTCCCACTACCCTTCCCACAGAATACGGTTTTTGAATTCAAGACTAGGTCTACCTTGTTTGCTCGCAAGTTGCAGGTAGGCCACTGAAGGCAGTACGGTGGCGTCTCATAGTAGCGCATAATCCATGATTGTTGGTCAGACTCAATCACACAGCCTTGTCACTCATGTCACGATCGCCCCTTGATCGATGATCCGGGTGTCCACCCGTGTTGCAACACAGCAGTCAGCTGTGGGTGCTTAAATGATGGATTTGAGTACTCGTAACGTACAACGAGAAGCGTCGATCTGTTTTCCACAAACTTGATACATGATGAGTCAACCTACTGCTTTGTACGTCGACGCTGGCCTTCAGGCATCCAAGGTGCGCGACAAGTTGAGCCCTAAACAACTCTGATTGACTCTTAATCCGCCCAGTATGTCAATGGTACAGATCTTATTTGACACTTGAACGAATACAGTGGCTAATTGAAATCTCCAGTCGGGATGTTTGCTGTTTTAGTGAGTGCATTTGCAAACTGAACTCGGGGGCATGAGATGCTGATGTCCTTACTTAGATTTTTGACTATTTCATTACCCTAGAGGTAGAGGTGCGTGGATTGCGCTGATTAGCGAATTATTCAAGGACTGTCCCAAAGTCACAGTGGGTCTGGCACCGAAGATGGACTTTTTTGCGATTTATATTCACTGTATCACGATACTTACCATTTTTCGCCATTGGGATGACATTCACCGGTGAGCTACACATGTTTCCAACTCGACAATTCCTTATGTCTGATGGATAGGTGCGCTTCGAACACAATACTATCCTGGTGAAAGTGTGAGTGATTACACCCTTTCAACACCCTGATATCCATAGCAACCCTGCAGTGTGTTAGATCCGGACAAGCGTCCAACGGTTAGCGTGCACAGCCCACGATACATTACTTTTCTCACCCAGTCCTTATGTAGTCTTGCACATCATCTGCATTCTAGCCGCAGAAGGTATGTCATGTTTTAAATGAGATCCTGATATTGATATTTTCTAGGCTTGTTAATAACGAGGATTTATGCTTCCTGGAACAGTAAGCGTCTGCTGACATTCCTCTTGGTGTTTCCAGTCGTACGTTTTTCGTTCACCTTTCATCATAAAAGCCTCGATGCTGAACCACTACCAGATTTGTTTTGTTGTCTCTTATATCATATCGGATACTCCCCTGGTCTTTAATTCCAAAAACACGACCCCAATTAATATATGTTTGTGATGCAATCTTCGATTTTCATGACAATCACTCATGCAGTGTGGACAGCGGATCCGGGCGACTGTCTTTTCCTGGGCGGCAGGAATAACGTCTTCGAGTACGCCGCTCTGTTACTCTATGAACTGGGTCAGGCATCTTGTCTTTCAAAAAAAATCGTACTCATGCATGAATCAGTCCTCCTCTGCTTGATGTTGTACATCAGATTCAGAAAGTACAACAATGCCGTCGGACAACTCCAAAGAACGTTTTTTAACGACTCAGCGAAATATATGATGTGCATTATGAGTAAGATGATTACTTTCGCCCAAACTAGCTCGCGTGCTGACTTCCTACTATGAAGTCGTGTCTTCGTTCAGTATAGTCTTGACCATAGTTCCTCCGGTGCGTTGCAGTACACCTGACCAACTATCCGTGCGCTTATCGTTTATTACAGATCACATGGGTTTCGATCACAGACTCGTGAGTAGATTGACTTGGGCGATCGTATCATCAACTTATCATGTATCACATCACCAGTCCGCAAGTCGTCATCCACAGTGTTCTAGCATCTAGGATTCTTTTCAACCTACGAGCGAGTGAAGGACGATCGCAGACTCATACAACACTGTCCGACGTATCTGAGATACAGTTTGGAGGAGGCCAACTTTCGACGGTGATATATGGTGTTTAATCAACGTTATGTGTGCAATGCAGGCGGACCCGTACCTTTACCTGGCAAAAACCCGTATCCGCTCTAAGGATACATCAGGGAAACATAATTTGCTACAGAGTGCTTTGTAGCACCCTGTAACACTCTGTAACACAATCCGTCCTGCTGATGTTACCTTGAGCGAGACACGCAGGAATCTGACGACTCTGTACGAACTCAAAGGTGAATAAAACAGCGCTATGAGGTCTCGATTTTGTGCTGCGGGAGAATGAAAGTTGGTTTGTGGGAAAAATAAGCTAGTGGGTATCGCGAGGGAGCTTCTCACCTTTCCAAAGTGCATCCTGCCGGTGCTGTGCACCATAGGGCGGTGGGTCCTTCGCGCTCGTCCGATATATCGGTGAGTGCAGTAGCGCTTCTCCCCGTCTCGTCGACGTGCTTGACTCGGCCTATTCGTGTAGCATGTCCTTGGTCGATTAAGGAGAGATGCGGGTGAAGATGAAGAGACCTGTTATTTGAGCCAATTTTGCATGCTGTGGTTGCAGGCGCCTTGCTGGCACTCCATCTCAGTGACTGTGTTACCATCAAATCATGTGCTTACCTTGTACCTCGGTTCGGTTTTGATTTTGAGGCAGTTCCGACTGAAACGAGCGGGTGCATTCACATTTGGAAATCAAATCTGTACGCTGTGCATAGCGCATATAACAGCCGCGCTCCCGACCACCAGTAACAAGTGATTGCTAAATGACAGAGACATAATGGTCGCTTATGTTTGCTGTACAATATTGCTATGATCAACACCCTGGGCGTTGATACAGCCGGTATCTGCAGTTTGGTTCTGCACCATCCTATCACGACACCACAAGCCAGGCTGCCCATCCCCATCACTGATCAGTCGGTAGTATCACCCATTGAACCATCGAGTTACAGGCCGCCGGAGTGAAGCCGAGGTGTTTGCTGTGTAGAACCTGGAAAATATATAAGATACGTTCCACAAATCTTGGACAGAGGGGACGCCATTGCATAGTAGGAGAGGGTTATCATTGATCAACCAGCAGACAGGCAGTCCGGTGTATCATGCGATATGTTGGAGGATCGCATTTTGGAAGATTCGCGTTGGGAGATTCAAGTTTTGGTGCCCATTGGGGCAGATTAACATAGACATTGGGCGCAACCTCGCCACTTTGCATTCAATCTCCGAAGTTTTTCATTCTAACATAAGTACTTTCCTCGTGTACCTCAGTCGTTAATTCCCAACACTGAGGTACGCGTCTCCGTTTTCTTTTTGCACTATAGATTCATACTTACATTTGGACTACCTCAGGTATTTCCAACACCGGGAAGCAAATAGTTCAGAAAAGATGCAATGCTCATGCAATACGGAAGTGAGTAATAAGCGCTTCAATTCAATTTGTGCCGGTTTCGACCAAACTTACAGCAACGAGAAGCAGTGAAGTTGACTCGTTCGAAACAGTCTTGGCGGCTGCGACAGAACGATGCAGATTTTGAAACGGCGAGATTTTTATTGGACCACGTCTTTTTTAATCATTTTGCATTACATGGACTATTCTAGCTTTGACACCGTCCGTCCACCATTCAAATCCAGAATCTGGCCTGCTTCACGGACCTGGCATTTGATAGTGCACCCTGCGACGTTGTGCTTACTGCCTCATGATACTATTGACCAGCTCATCGATTTCGTTGGCCGTCTCAAGCCGGGTCCATACTTGACTTCATGCACCACCTGTGCTTGTGTATGTCAATTCAGCCGAAAAAGTTCGCAGGTCTCTAGTTTGGCTACGACGTTCACGTGTTTCTAAACGGGTGTTTCCTCGACAATGCAAAACGATGCCCATGATGTGAAAGTGGTTGCGGTGCTAAACATTAATGTATTGATTCAGAGACCAGTCCCATTTGTTCACAGGTTTTCTGATGGCCCGCCGTATGAACTTGGGCTTTTACTGCACACCAGAAAATAACACGTCTGTCACGAATCGCGATCGCCGTCTCGTTCGTTCGATCAAGTGAGAGATCCACGAGCTAAACTTGGAGGTCAACATTAGATGAACAAATTTAACCTGCGCAGTGCGTCACCGTGACATCTTTGTATAGGCACCCAATATCAATCGCCAACAGCATTGCGCTTTGACAGTGTCTCGAACACAAGCTTAGTGAACCACGAGCAAGATTAGGTATGGCTATCATTTTCACATACATTCAAACATGCACATCGTCGAGCAGTATGAAAATTTACTCAAAAACAATTATATCGATTGGCTCCGAACTGGGTATCGCACTGTCAACTAGGATACCAAAACGAAAGCAGAAGCATGTCTCACTGTCGTGGCATACTTCTTGGGCTGCCAGCCCAATCTTCACGAGCGGCACGTCTTTCTCGGATGATCCTAAGGCGTGCAGGTAAGTCATGGTTAAACCTGGTTATACAGCAACCCTGCTTACACCTCTACAATTCAAGTCATAGCAGCAATCGCTTTTTATTAGGCATTGACTTCCTTCAACCCAACATGCACCCACAAACATGGATGCTGTCAAAACAATAACAACAGCGAAGATGGATAAACGCACTCTTCACGAGGTGATATGGAATCTTCTGAGGGGATTCTCAAATAATATCTCGACGACCGGCTTTTATACCCTGCATAGTATTATCGGCACAGTCCTGATCGATCTGGCAGAATTGTTATTGCTGTCAGATAATAGTATGTGATCATTTTTGGTTCCTTCCTCAGTATATACTTACATGTCACTCGCATCATAACACAAGGGTTGAAGCTCAGCGCTCAGTCCTGTTGATACTTCCGAGTTGTACTCAGTCGATATCTCATACCATTTGCTGCTCCCTTATTGCAATCAGCATATACCATTAGCAGGTTGATCACGGAATTTTGTGGGCGGAACATTCTACCAGCCAGTTCTGCCTGACAGATGGCAGAATCCGGCAGAATGTCCAACTGTAGCAAATTTACCCCAGACTCAGAACATCCATAATATTGATCTTGCAGTCATGAATCTATATCGCTTGATGACATCAACGGAGCACCTGTTCACCAAATTGATCAAAAGTTGCATGAGATAAACCTCACATAAAATGCTGCTGTTGCAGTCTGCTACAACTTCAAGCTTCAATGATATTTTTGGCACCCATGCCGCTCTAATGTTAAACTTACAAGTCTTCTATCCCATAAGCGAATGTATCAAAGCACTACACTATCCAATACTAAAAACCCAGCTGCAACCCCACCCTCGTTACTCTCTGTACCATTGGTCCTGACAAGCTATCCCACCTTCCTCTCTATTATGACAAACTCTCCAAACAATGAATACCTAGAGATACCTAGCTCAGATATAGCCTCTGCTCGTACAACTTTCTCCTCTATGCTCCCATTGTCTGTAGCTGAACTTGAGGGAGATGCGCATATGAGGTCACTGCTTACCCCATGTGGCATCTCGATCACCTCCATTGTGATCCAGGCTTTGTGAACCATTGGGGGAAGCTAGTAGGGGAAGATGGAATCTTCATATCCAAGACCTTTAGATAGTGTTGTTGGCAGAAGTCTGCCATTCTGCCAATGGCAATTGCCAAGCAGCAATTGCCGGCAGTAGGTCGAGGGCATTGGGCAGAAGTCGGCAGAAGTCAATGTGAATCTTATTTGTACTATCATCAAATAGAATATGTTTGACTTCGAATAAGTGTATCTGAGCCTCCGTGCATGCCAATATGTCCTCGAAAAAGTCTACAGGCCGCCCTACTCGAAAAATCATCACTAACCACTTTATCCAGGATCAAAAAGTCCAAAATTCATCCAACCGTTATTTTTACAAATGCAACTACTGTTTGACGTCTATAGAAGGTTGCGACGACAAACATCTCAAGCATATTCTTGACCGGAATATTTGCCCTACGGCTCCAGATCATGCTCACACAGAAGTCCGCAACTATCTCGCTACAAAAAATGGAAATCAAACACTACTACTCCCACCTATCGTGGATACAGATTCTTCTTCATTCCCATCAACTTCAGGAGACACAGCTAAAGCTCCACAGAAACAGAAGAACCTCTTCGGATTCATGGATCTTCCAGTCACTCCAGAGCAAGCAACACGTGCAAATTTCAAATTGTTTCGGTGAGTTCAAGTGTCACAAATCATTGACTGTGTACTGACTGCGTGAATATTAAACCCACAGATTCATTGTTCACGCTAATATACCTTTCTTGGTTGCGGAGAACTGGTTTTTCCGTAACTTCCTTGATGAAATTCGGCCCTCGTATCAAGCACCATCACATTATGTGCTGTCACATTCAATTATGGATAGCGAAGTTGCGCGTGTCCAAATCGAGGACATTGCACATCTCAAGGAACGTAAAAAGCTTACATATTTGCTTGATGGGTGGGAGGATAAAATAAGACGAAGCTTGTATGGGTCGTTGGCTGCTGAAGTCAATCAGCCTCCAGTCGTGTTGAACCTTGAGGATATGACGGGGCACCGAGGTTCTGCAGACAAACTCCTTGATGTCTCAGTGAAAGCTTTGGAAAGAATGGAGATCGGAGATGGACGTAACATAATCGCGGCAACAACTGACAATCCCACTGTGATGAGAGCATTCCGACAGAAGTTCCAAGAGAAATTTTACTGGGTTCTCGTAAGATCTTTCCCCCCTTTAGTCAAAGTATTCCAATGAAATGACGAGTCTAGACCTTCCCGTGCTTTCTCCACGGCCTCAATACAATCATCGGAGAAATTTGTGCACACCCGTTTATGAAGTGGCATGTGACAAAAGCTACTTGGGTAGTGACATTCTTCAATGGGTCCCACTACTGGGGTGGTCAGTTGAAAGAACAGGCGAAAAAGGATGGCATCAACCGTGGATTGAAGAAAAACTGCGAGTCTCGTTGGTATGCACTTGTTCTCCAGTCAATGAGTGTCCGTGATCATAGGTGCGAAAAAATATGACTACTATCAGTTAGAGAAAAGAATTAAATGAACTATAGACAATCACTTTCCCATTTATGTCTGCGGAAAGACGCACAGAAGAAGATCGGAGGCCTCTCACCTGTTGCCCCAGATATTGTCACCATTGTCCTCCGCGACGCAGAGTTTTGGCCTGCCATTGAACAAGGGATCAAGGTTATGAAGCCAATTGTTGACCTTATCGGAGATGAGGAGTCCCGCGATTCATCACTCGCTTCCTGCATGCTTGGGCTAATTCGGCTTGCAAAGACAATCTCTCAGTTGCCAATCGAAGAAGGAGATAATGTTCACTTCTGGCAACACGCAAAGGCTGTCTTCAACCGGCGTTTTTTTGCAATGAACACAAAAACTCACAGTCTCGCGCTATTCTTACACCCAATGTGCCGAAAACTCGCAATTTTGCAAGCCGTAAACGGACGTTCGTTCAAATTTATGGTGGAGGTAGCTCTCGACATTGCTAAACAGTGGCGATGGAGCGAACAGCTTGCAAAAATGCTCGTTGCTGACTTAAAGGATTATCACAAATGCTCCGGAGTATTTTCGGGAGGGCAGGCCGACGCACTCGATTGGTGGGAAACCCTCCCCATCAGTGCCAAACGCTGTCCATTGAAGGCATTCGCGATCATAATCCACTCAATTGTACCTCATGCTGCTGACGTCGAGCGTTATTTCTCGGGTCTGGGTGGGGTACAATCTGTGAAGCGCTGCAACCTATCAGTTCAGACTTTCGAGTCTCTGAGCAAACTCCGGGCAAGCTACGCAAATTTCTTGCACAAGGTGGATCACGAAGCTGGCAAGCCAGCACGTCGCAAACACGCCCATATGCACACTCGGCCAGAGCATGGACTCGACACAGCCTTGGCAGACGAACTTCAAAGGTCGTTTGCATGGGTGCCACCACTCGCTGGTGCCTCTCGCAACTCAGACGACGAATTTCTTGCAGGTCCTGAGTCAATCACAGATGAGGAGCTGCTCAAAGAATTTGACAGATTTGAAAACGAGATGCTGGAGTCACGAGGCTTGCAAGAAGGTACTGGCGAAGTCCCAGATATTTTTGGGGGAGATATTATTGATTGGGATGAGCTGGAGAAAGTCGATAAAGGAATTACACCTGCAGGGTTTGTCGAAGAGATTGATGTGGTTGACTGTGGGTCACAAGGCACGGAGGCAGGCTGGAACATCAATGCGCTGTTGACATCAGAGGGTGTAGCATCCATGCAATAGCTTAGATAATTTTTTTGCTGTTATCTTACTAGAACACGCAGAAACCCTCAAAACAATTCTGCCGACTTTTGCCATTCTGCCAATTGCCGTTCTGCCGTTTTTTTGGCAGAACTCGCCCCAAAATACTTCTGCCCCCTACACTACCTTTAGAAGACAGAGCCCTAAACCCACTGGACTATGGGACCAGTGCCCGATCCGTTTCCGAACCGTGCTGGTGGGTCGGAAGGTTTAGACACGCAGTTAACCGCTCTATTTACGTAATACGGTGCCACCACGTGTGATCATACGGACAAAATGTAGCTACTTGATTGACAGTGCTTCAATGTAACGACCTCGTAAAAATATTTGTCTATGTGGCTATCATACATGACCAAGCTGTGGTACTCATCCCATCATTCAGACCTGAGGTATCAACAACCACTCATGTAACTGGATGCATCTGAAGTGAAAAAAAAGAAAGGAAAAAAAAACACAATGTCAGACCCAGAGGAATCAACGCACAGCGAAATCAACGAGCTTTAAGCTCGCGTTTCGTTAACCCGCAACCTTAGTGCCCAAGTACCCCTCGCCCTCTGCCCCGTCTCCTTCGCCTTCCTCCCCAGCCTCCTCCCCATCTTCGTCAATAACTCTCTCCTCTTCCTTACTTCGCCGATCATCATCACGCTGCATCTCATCCCGCATGACAGCGACGTCCTGGTCAACCTTTGGGGCGACTCTATCAATCCCGGCCTCCGCGAGGGGCACGTGCATGCGGTTCTTGGCGAGATGAGCGGAGCGCTTCGGGGGCCGCTTGAGCCGCCGGCGGGCGACCATCACCGGGACGGAGCACCGCTGATGATCAGATAAAGTGTCAGAGTAACAAAACCATAAAGCAGTGATAAGACTAACTTGAATGAGATAGTGTGATGTTGAGCCCAAGAGAATGCTATGGAGAGAGTCACACATTGATTTAATGGCGTGATGAGACCATAGTGCGCACTTACCCCTTGATCTGACCCAAGCCTCGTGACCCCACAATCAACATCGTGGGTTCGTTGTAATCAACAATATCGAGGAGCATGTGGCGCGAGTTTTTCGAGTGCCATGCTTGGCAGGAGACTGTCACATTCAAGTGCGTGCGTTGTAAGAGCGACGTTGCTTGACGGACGAGGATGTATGCAAGGCCTTGACGCTATGCGCAGGCGTGAGTTTGCAATAAAATTAATACGAGGGCTATCTTACTTCCTGTTGAGAACGAAGTCTAGTGGCGCGGTCTGCTTGGTTGGGGATCTGCGGGTCAACTGCAGCATGTAAATCAAAACAAAGTGCGAGCACGTGTCAAAATGTCATTACCTTTAGCCTCGTTTTCGACAACCGTAACGATGAGCCTGTACCATAAATTTAACAGTGCATCAAGACAAGAGTGAGAGCACTTACAGATGATCGCCGTCTCGAATCACTGTGCCGATACCCCATTCAACAGCATAACGACTTTCCTCACTGAGGTCACTGGCAACAATGTACATCCGCCTCCGTCTTCCTGATGCCTCTGGATTGCCTTGAGTCATGGTGATCGTGCACCTATCACGTTGGAATAATGGACGAGCAGTCTTCAAAGGAAGAGTTTCATGATGCCGGGATTTCTTTCGCTTCGGCCCCCCACGCTTGCCTTTGATTGAGGTGTAGCTCGACCGGTTCAGAGTAGAAGGAAAATAGGGTTCGGGTGGCACCACGACGTTGACGCCCTCACCCAATGGGTCGGGATCCATAGTGACATCATCAGGGTCCAGCTCTCCCATTTGCATCTCATGAGCAGCAATAAGAGCATTCTGCTCCGTGTTCCTCTCCGTGACGAAATCAAACATGCCCGCGGCATCATCGCTCCAATCTTCCTCTTCATCTTCTGTTTCTTCTCCAGCGTACTCTGAACCTGAATCCAGATCCTCTGTGAAAGCATTGCGAGGTCGGACAGCAAGTGAGCGTCGTGAAATGACGGAGTCACAGTCCGATTCCTCGAGGGGAAGAGGAGCGGGAGATGCATCACGATCGCGGGAACGGAAACGGCGTAGATTGAAGGGAGACGATGAACGAGCACGAAAGGACTCCTTGGAAGCTACTGATGATGTATCCTTGTCCTTGTCCTTGTCTTTTGTATGAGACGGAAGTACAAAAGACGAGGAGCGAGGGCGTTTGCGTCCGCGAGTTTCCTTGTCTTTATCTTCATTCGTCGTCGTACGAGACAAAGAAAGCGCAGAAAGGCCTCCCATCATGGAGTTGAAAGATATCTTCCCAAAGGATCCGGGAGTGCGAGAGGTCAATTCAGGTGTCTTCATGGTAGATGCCAAAGGAGGCGATGTAGTATTGGAAGACGATGCGCAGTTCTGGTTCTGTGACGAAGTTTGTTCATATTGCTGTAGATGAGAAACAGAGGAGTGAGGAGAAGGATGCAAGGGAAGTAAACGAGATAAAGAAGAAATAGAGTTGCGTCTTGGTGTGCTGGGCCGCGAGGTCTTTAAGCTCGTCTCGCAGGACGATGCACCTGCGCCTGGGTCTGCAGAATGGGAGGTCTGCTCGCACTCCTCCCTGGGGGGTGCCAACCCTGTGTCCAAATGAAGAGTTGGTCTGGGCACTTCCTTGGCAGCGTCCTTCTGCGGACCGTACCACGTTCGCCAGGTACGGCGTTTTGGACGCACGCCGGGCTCAGCAGCGGCAGACATCATGACAATCAAGACGCAGGAGCAGAGATGGAAATGGTTTGAATCAAACAAAGGATGGCACCGCTTACCTGAGCTGCAAGGAGCTTTCTGAAATTGGTGGCTACGTCGTTTGAAACTGATGGCTGGAAAAGGCGAAGGGTTCGTTAGGGTGAAATGGACACAAGAGCCTTACAGCTTCTTGGCGGACAGCCCGTTTACTCACCTTTGCTTCTTTTCCCCCGTTCATCCTTGTTCCTGCTCTAGCCTCGTCTAGAGCCTAAATATCACGTTAAACCACAGATAAACTATGACCTTGGATTTCTGGAATGTCTGCGACAAGATAATTCCGCGTTGGTCGCCGTAATGGTTGTCACTTATTGTTCGCTATCACTCGCCGGTGGGCAGTGCAAGGGGGATACCTAAAACAGTAAGCCTTACGCACGTGGTCTCCCCTCTTTGTGGTACCATGTCACGACTACGTAGTACTTATTGTCTGCGTTGCGAGGACCTCTCTGTGATAACATAACTACTTAATGTATCCGTCGTGAGGATCCCACAGATTCTCATTGCCTTGACACACTTCTTACAGGCTCGCGTTGGCAACTTTCCCAAAAATTTCCTCCAAGAACGCATCCGAGTTCGGCGATCGACCCAGGAAATCCTAGAATTCCATCACGTGAGCTACTATCCCCAGATTTGCCAAAATGCGACGCCACCTCAAGGGAATCCGTTTCATCGCGACTACCTCCCACCAGGAGGATCTTATCCCTGTAACGCTTACCCAAAGCAGGATTCAATGGATCTTTCTTGAAAACTGTCGCATACATGTCCGCAGCAAACACGAGAGAATACGTGTACCTGGATATCACATTCCCCCGAAGTGTCAAATTCAATCGGTGGCCCATCAGAGTACGACGATCGCATGACTCACCCGTAGTACCCTGCATCATAGCCACCCACGATATGTCCAAAAGTGCCTTGTCCTGGCTTAGCTTTGCCCCCTTTTACGAGTGAGATCGATTCACGCAGGTCATTCCAGAGTTTGGTATAATCTGCCGCTTCTGTACAATACCTCGTGAGTCCCGCAGTCCGCGATAATAATAATACATGCACCCCACTTTTGTCCACGTGCACTTTCAAATCAAACTTGGCAAAGAATAGTTGCCGAAGGTAGAATAACCCAACGTTTACGTAGCGGCTATGACACTCATCATAATTCATTCTCGAAAACTTCAAAATGAAACGCACCTCCTTATCATCTTATCTATCAGTTCCGGCGACAGCGGTTCCTGTGTCTTGTAGTGGCTAGACATTTTTTCGAGCACTTTAGGCTCCCAACACCTGTTCATGCCGTCAGCACCTTTCTGATGGTACATTCTTTCGGAGTTTTTCCAAAACACGTACCAATTTTCGAGCATTTGCGACGGTGCCTCAACAAAATCTCTTGCCACCGATGTACCATGGAATCGCGCGTACCTCGTCCGACTCAGTAATCCATGGAACACATGACCCATCTCATGGAAGAACGTTGTTACGTCGTCATGTCGCATTAGAGCGGGCAGCTCGGGAGTTGGCTTTGCGAGATTCGCTACCATTGCCGTCAGCGGATAGTGGCGTTTGCCCGATGGTAGTTCATAGCCCGGGAGAAGGCCCCATACAGCTGCGTGAGAGTACTTTGCAACTGGCAAATAGAACAGGTTTAAATGAAAATACAAATACGAAATGAAGCTTCGCGTTCTTACCGCGGGGAAACAAATCTAAGTAGCAATATCCGACAAACGCAGATTCATCTTTGGCGTCCTTCTCCCACACAGCGAACTGTTGAACTTCTAAATCGATAATGTAGACATCTGAAATTTATCTGATGCGGCATATACCACGCACCTGGATGCCAGACATCTTTGTTGTCGTCCTTGATTTCAATGAACTTAACTCCGAGCAGATCCTGATATATGTTCAAGATCGCGGGAACGACGACGGCGACCGGGAAATATTCCTTCACGAGAGATTCGTCGAGGTTGAGCGTCTTCTCGATATAGACACGGTCATAGTACCTGTCATGATACATATGAGCGAGATCCTATAGCATTGATGAACGTGGTGATTTACCTGTAGTCCCAGATATAAAACTCGCCATCGAATGGAAGTCCACGCTTCTCGTGATCCTCTTTCTTGAGTTGAAGGAGGATATCGCGCTCTTTTTCTCCGACAGGGCGCAGCTTCGCCTCGAGGTCGTCTAGGAACTAGGGAGCATATATGTCAGTTTGACAAGAGCTTGACAATCACTCACCTTCTCCGCGTTCTTTCCAGACTTGACCATCTTCACTTCCGTGATGTAGTCTGCCCATGTGTCATAGCCAAGCATCGCAGCGATGCGCCGACGGATGTCAAGCGCCTTCTCAAGTAAAGGCACATTTTGTTTGAGTCGGTCTTCGTATCCTTCTTGAGCACTGCGTCGCGTGGCTGGATTATGCGCGAATTTGAACTGAAATATTACTTGGGTAAATCAACAGAAGCTCTTCATGATGCCACATACGATTGGGAAGATATCTGGTGTCTTGAAAGTGACATTATAGACTTCCTTCGAGCCCTCAGTGCGCTTATCGTAACCCGAGATGACATCGCTCGGGACTCCATCCAACTCTTCGAGTGTGAACGAGATGGTACCCTATGTACGTTGAGTGATCATTGCCACAAATCAAGACAAACGAGCCATCTTACATCCTCTTCATTGAAGTTTTTCTGTAAACTCTATTAGCATAACACCTAAACACTGAATAAACCATCCATACGCTGAAATCCAAGCAAGCTTGCGAGAGATCCTTCTTCAACTTCATCAGCACCTCGCGCTCCTTTTCAGGGAGTGCAAGACCAGCTCTCTTGCCATCCAACACCATCTTCTCCACAAGCCTACGTTGCTCGTCGCTCAGCTTCTCCCATTCACCTGATTTGCGCAAATTGTTCTCTGCAGCGGTCTTTGCTTTGAATATGTCAAGACGCATGGACTCCTCGACATCAAAGTCCCGCTGGAGAACTTCCGCTGCGTTCGAAGCATCTCGGAGTTCTTGGGAGGTGGAGACACTCTGGTAAAATCCGAGAGGCTCGCAAATGATGAGGGCTTCTGCCTCTGCATTAGCAAGCGGTAACTAAAGTCGAATGCTTGTCTGAGAATGCGATGACAACGGATCGGAAACATCACTCACAAAAACCTGCAAGTAGAACGAGAGATGATCAGACTGATGATGCCGCACAAGACAGGTCACGTACGGTATCGAAATTGCATTCTGCCTCCGGGATAGCAGCGACTCTGTCGCTGACCGCCTTATTCTGCGCAAGTGCCTGCTTGGTGATACTGAGCACTTCTTCTGGGGTATGATTCCATCTAGGAGGAGCTTGTGGCGGAATCAACGAAGCCATGATAGGATCACTTTCTAATAGCGAGAACGCAAAGCTAGAATTTGCGTGTGGGCTGCTAGAGAACGGTCTTGAGGTCTTTGATCGTGAATACTGGGTTCGCGGGGGTCTCTGTCGGAAGGCAATGGATGTCAAGGATGGAGGCTGTGTCCGTGTGGGGTACTTAAGGGCTTGATTGGGGTTATCTATCTGAATATATGACCTGTTAGTACTTCCGCTGGCGTGCGTGACCGACCCAGTACTATATCCAGCGGAATTATGTGGAAATTGCCAAAAGCGCGATGATTCTGCGTTGGGTAGTGCGTGGAGTCTGGGATGTGACAAAAGACGAGTAGACCTGGAGGACGCAGAGCTTGCACGGACAATCATGTAAATGAACTTGAGTACCCAATCAAATTATGCTTTGGCAGTTGTAAACAGTGGTCCACTGTCCACGTAGTACTAATAGCAATCCATTCAAATGGCGCTAATTATGACTACGTAAAGTGCCTAGACCCTAAAACAATATAAATATCAAAGTGTACGTTCTAATAGATACTCGTGCTGTTATCCTGCGCGACCAAATGATTGCCAATGAGTCTCGAGTGATCAGAACTTTGCAGACCTGATAACCGTTTACGAAGAGTTCAACTTTAGATAAGCCAAAAAATTAATACATAGCCACATGAACTTACGAGGGACGCGTTTTGAGTTCCTCGCCAGCGGTCGTTCGCTCGAGTAACGCAAAGACTGTAGAATAATTATTTTAATGAAACAATGGATGTGATTTTTGAGAACACATGACGCGTCAAGACATGCCTCGTCAACGACTTCGCAGTAGAGCACCCTGATACATATGGCTGATCGATCACGCTGTCACGGTAGTGTATATAACCGTCATCATGTTGATTTCTGCCCTTTGGTACCCACCATTCTTATATGGAGGTGATGCGGATGCGGCCGGCTCTAGCCTGTTCGGTCAAACTGTCAGGTCGCGCGGATGTCGGCTCATGAGTATTCAGTACACCTGCCAGTGCTACAATTGCGCTAACCGTTCGTAAGCTGCTTCCCTGTGGCCCTGTCACTGAGATCGTGCTTGAGGACCGGTATGCTCGCGGGACATTCCTGGTCTGTTGTGGGCGATTTTAAGTTCATTATAATAGCCCGAGTATTATTACAAGCTAAGTTAACTGCTTACCTATTCAATAGAGTGCCCTTGCCAAGTTTTTTTTCTGCCTTTCAATGTGCCGTGATGGATTGGACGTCAAAGCATCTTGAGAGCAGTACTGAATAGTTTTTTCGCCCAAGACCAGGATCAGGGTGACTCGTCCTGACAGGACGCGACATCGCAGTGTCGGCTTGAAAGCAACGCCCGATCACGATTCGGCAGTTCAGAAAAGGCTATATAACCAAGCGGTTCGGCGGGACTCGGTGTTTATAGTAGTACCGCCGGATAAGCGGCAACAACAAAAGCTCAAGTGTGAGTCTCATCCCTGGCGCTGAGTCCTTTCACTGAGTACTTGAGTCGGTCACCAGCCTTCGGAGTAGCTAAGTAAATGATTTTTTTCTTCAATATATATTTATTGCGAGCAAGTCTGCGATCAGTGACCCGCAATATGATTACATAATACTTCCACATGGCAATCGAATTGAACCCTATTTGGGTCCGTCCTTTGCCTAATATTAATTGAACTTCGCAATATAAGCACAGATGATTATTCACTCACTCATGCATATATATCTCTTAGTCCTCTCTTCGATCCGTGATTCACTACATCATGAGCTCCCCCTCCCCAGCTGAAGTAGAGAATCTCGTGGTTCTTTTCGTGGGTTTCGCCTTCGCGACATTCGTATACGGCTTGACATTCTTTCGTGAGTATTCTATCCTCTCATCAAATCTGTCTCATCTCGCCAAATCGTTGCAGAGACCTACATATATTTCTCTCGATACTCCAATGATCATACATGGACAAAACTCCTGGTATGCTTTTCGTCCCTATCCATCACACGTCTGACCCTCACTTTCTCAACAGGTCGGGGCACTATTGTAATGTACTCCAGCTTTAAACTCGAACTGCGCCTCACACATATCTAGTGTCCTTGATACTACCTCAAATTGCCTAGGTGCGATTACTTTCAAACCTGTTTTCTGTCTTTCTGACCAAGATCCATAGTATCTGACATGTAGGAGCTTTGTCTCCATTTACTCTCATCTCTAACCATCTGAACAGACTATATCACTACATGGTAAAAATGTTCGACGTGGCCACAGAGGTCCTATATGCAACACCGTAAGTCTCACTTCGTGAAATATGTTACAGATCTTTTTAACCATGCTTTTAGAGCTTTTTGCGTAAGTGATTCGATCCATGGGTGCCTTAGCCGCTTCTCAATGTCTCCCGTACCAAGATTCAATACCTCCTTTCGGTAAGCCTATACTCAGCGGTGGCTTCTGGCGTCCTTCATAGCATTACTCTAGGTCATTCTCACGATGATCGCGCAGCTGTAAGGCAACGACCATAGATATAACATCTCACATTTCTCACTCCCTATTAGATTCTTCGCTAGTCGACTTTATACTGGTGAGCCAAGTGTTTTTGTGAGCTTCATGTTCTCATTCTTCAACAGTCTGCGGTGGTCCTACGAGTATTACTTCGAAATCCGTCAGCACGGCCGTGGTATGTGTTTTGCAACTATACTCGATCACTTCCACTGACCACGCTGCAGCTCTTTTGTGCCTTCATCGCCTTTGGTTAGCATCCTTTCCCGCGTGTATTCGCCTTGCCTGACGTGACTTTTGATTGCAGTTTTCGGCTTAAGTTAGTGCGTATGATATTCAATTGAACCTTATTGACGCAAGTGCAGCTTCAGTAGGGCAATTGTAAGCGAATATTCTAATAGTAATAATGGATACCGCCGCTGATTCTCGTTCAGCTTCCAGCAGAGGCAGTTATCCACATTTGCTTCGCCTTCTATGGCAGTGAGTATCAGTTTTTGCTTGATTCAGAGAATTCTGATTCCGGAATTGCAGATCATCGCTGGCATCAGCCAATGCTTCGCAGCAGTCGCGAATATCATCATTCTTATTGCGATGTGTTGGTCATTGCGTCCAGCACGTTATCCGGACATGCTTCAGTCAGTGTTTTGTATCATGAGACACAAGCAACTGCTGACGCATTCTTTCAGGCCTCAGGGGGTGTTTGAAAACCTTGCTGTGTTGTTTGTCTGCCGTGGCCTAGGACTCGTGTAGGTTTACTCCACGTTCAGTTTTTGCAGCCTAACCATGTTTTTATCGGTCAGCATTATTCAGCTAATGTATCTTGGCACAGTACGTGGATACTTGGTCAGCATACCTTTATCGCTCATCTGTATAGTTTGTTGCTTCACCAGGAAAACCATACTGGATAGCAGTCCAGATGGTGGCACCCAGGGGTGAGTTTTTGCCATGCACTCCTCGCGCACAGGCTCATGGCAGATCATAGTTTACACCAACACTGTCCTGGGACTGTAAGTCATTCACCTAACATCTCATCATACGCTTGTTCTCATTTTTTTCGCAGCTTGAATACCCGGGAAGTCAAACACGGTGTCGGCCTCAACGAAGAAGAGACCTTGTCTGATCGACAGGACTCTCAAAACAATTCTTTCCCAGGCCAGCTCCGTTTTCGCGACATAAAGACAGTGAGCCACACGCCTTTGAGACTCGGTGATCCAACGCTAACGTATCATCATCCTCAGACACAGCAGTCATTGAGCTTTTCGCCCCAGGGAGAGTCCAGCCGGGGTAGTGAAATCGAGGAAGCATGCAAGTCGTATGCTGATAACCAGAACCTGGTATGTTCATGTCGTATGGCGTTGAAGATGTCCCCCGATCTTACGGATTTATACAGGAGTCCATTAGTTCTCATTGCAGCGAACAAAACGCTTATGACAAGGCAAGCTTATCATGATGCGGAATGTCTGATTCGCTGGTTTGCACGCATATTAATATCTATTGTACTAATCGTCGCTGTCGTCCCTCTCGCACTTGCTTTCTTTGCTTTCGCTCTCATATGTATCATATCACTGTCGGTGTTACGGTCGACACAGTGCATACTCTACATTCGTCTTTGCCTCTTGAAGCAGCTCGGACTTGGGGATAACATAGCGTATATCGCACATATCGTACGCACAAATTAACATGTTAACGTTCCAAGACAATCATTTTGGGAAATGGAATCTTTCTGAACCGCACTTTCACTGGATGTCGGCCACACAAATTAAGTATTGGTCTTTGAAGCGACCTCCAGTGTGACTGAGATGCGATTCCACCAGTCTGGCAGGTACCCAAGACAAGCGGCAGCGAAAGGCGCAGACCTTGAACTTGAACCGCGCGAATCAAGCTCAAGCATTCACTCATGTCTTCAAAAAAGCGTCGTTTTTCCTTGACGCAAATAGTGTCCATAGGTTCATATAGTAGCGTTACATCTTTACATCGATGCTTTGTATGCGAAATAAATAAATAATTTGGAACATGCAACGGAATGTCGGTTGTTCAATAGTATACTTGCGTTAGCGAGATGAATAAAATCTATATCACGACGTCGCAAAATGAGTGGCACGCCTAACGCAGGCCCGTACGACACGTAAAGCACACGGCCAGCGGTTAAGTTATGTTATGCGATACTCCACTTGCTCACCGCAGCCTGCACCAAGCGCCCCATGTCCTCACGTGCTTGCTTTTTTGCGCTGTCAGTGATACCCACGAGTGCGTCCAGTGCGCGCGGTGATGTTTGAAGCGGGTCGAACTCAAGGACGTGTCCATCAGAAGTTGAGATCGCGACGACTGCACGGGCAGAGGACGAGGAAGGGAGGGACGAGAGCGAGCTGGAAGGCATAAGAGAAGACGTAGCGGATTTGGGTGCCGGTGGCTCCGGGACACGAGCTGCCGTGCGCGAGTAGTGCGTGCGTGCGGTTATGGTTCTGAGTTTGAGAGTCGGCTTGTGAGTGGGTCTGAGAGAAGGTGGTCTGGGTGGAGGATGAGGGGACGAGGGAGACGGATGGGTCACGCCGTATGACTATGCTGTTTACGCGTCGTAGAGTCTTGCCTTCCCCTTGCATATTTACCTGCGTCTCCTTTCCTTTGCCTTTGACTTTCACATCCATGTCATGAATACCCTCATCTTCCTCTTCAGTAACAAACCAGTCCAATCCGAGCTTATACGGGTTGGCTAGCGGAGACCCATTTAGACTAAGCATGCTCTCATCGCGGCGGGGTGCACGGAGGGTCGGATAAGTGGGGGTCTTAGTAGGCAACGTCGGAGCGAAGGTTGCGCTGGTGGGCGGGCGCTTTGCCTGGGATGGTGGCTTGGCATTCCATGGTATCGATTTCCCAGGCGAAGACGAAACTTTGAGAGGTGATGGAACACGCAATTTAGATGGAGATGTTCGGAGGGTAGATGGTTTCTGCGGGCTGACGGAGGGCAAACGGAGGGTTGGACGGAGTTGCCCAGGGGTACGCGGGACTGCCGCAGAGAACGTGCGGACGCGTTGTGCAGTGCCCGTGTTCATGGGAGGAGGCTTCCTCTTGGGAGTGACATGCATCATCCTCGCTAAGTGAGAAGCATGTCAATGGAAAGACTGAAGTTAAATTGACAACATACCATTCTTGACGGCGCGTTCACCTTCACTGGCCTCCTCCCACTTACGCTTGCGAGTCTCGCGATCGATCTCGAGATTGGGTGGAGCACCACCCACTAGACCACGAAGACACGCTTGAATGTCGCCATTGTAGGTATCAGCAAACTCGCCCATGGTTACACCGCGCACGAGTTTGGGAATGCGGGAGATAAGTCCTTCTTGGTGAAGCCGAAAGTTTTTGAGCGCGTCTGCAAGCCATTCCTCAAGCTGGCGAACACGGTGTTCGACTGTGCAAAAAGATGGAGGCAGAAGATTCAGTGAAGCAAAAGTAAGATAGCATGAATCAAGCATAATGCACCTTCGATATCAAGATTCTGAAGCAGCTGTTGTTTTTCCTCTGGAGTATATTTGCGGGATATGTCTGGTTTGTACATCTTCACCAGCTTCGACGATCAGGACAGAGATGGGCGGCTAGAATTCACAACGCCGCAACTTTCTCAAGTGGATTGAAAGCGGACCAAGTGGACAAACACTTCGCAGGTGGAAGAAGCACGTGGTCGCGTAAGTCCGTGGACCACGTCCGCAGGTCCGTTTGTTACATGGCAACTTTTGAACTTTAGCACCGTGACATACAGGTGATTCCTGAACAACCCCGCTGAGCCACAGGTTACGGAGCCCCATCGGTTACATAGAGCTCTCTTACATCTATTCTTCATGTCAGAACGAAAAGAGGTTTATCTCGTTATTGGTGGTAGCGGCTTTGTGGGCCGTCACATCGTCGAGCACCTTCTATCTCGTGGGGACGTCGTCTGTGTATTCGACATCGTCCAGCGACATCACGATGTTGACTTTTATTCCGGGGATATTACGGACGAATCCCAACTGCTTGATGTATTGAGAAAGGTGCGCGCTACTTCACTCATTTTTATATTCATCGAGCGCTAACTCACTTTCCTTCACTGTGTGGTGTACGTCTGTTTGCTGTTGGGATGACTGCAGACCGGTACGACTTGCATAATCCACACCGCTTCACCACCACACGGTGCCAAAGATCCAAGCATATATTATAAAGTCAATGTTGATGGCTGCAAAGCTGTCATCAGCGCAGCGCAGGCTGCCGGTGTGACAAAACTAGTCTACACAAGCAGTGCTGGTGTCGTTTTTGACGGCGGTGATGTCATCAACCTCGATGAACGTGCTCCTTTCCCAGAGAAGCCATTTGATGCATATAACGACTCGAAAGCACAGGGAGAAAAACTCATCCTCGAGGCCAATGGCAAGGGTGGCCTATTGACTGTTGCTCTACGACCTGCAGGCATTTTTGGGTATGTCATTTCTTCATATCAACCAATGAAAATAAACCTTGATGCTCTTCAGTGAGGGGGACCGTCAAATGATGGTGGGCCTCTACCAAGCCTATCAGCGTGGACAAACTCACTTCCAAGTCGGAGACAACAATAATCTCTTCGACTACACCTACGTTGGTAATCTCGCCAAAGCACATCTAATCGCTGCCGACAAGCTGTCCTCTCCCTCACTCCCTACATCCTCGCAAGAGACCCTCACTATCGACTCCCTTAAAGCTGAACTTCACCTTGACCGCGCCCTGCAGCCTATCAGCGCAACAATCGGAGTAAAGCGCGTTCCGACATGCGAAGCACGCCCTCTAGGGCCATACGTCACACTGCCACCTAATGCCGCCGAAATAGAGGCAGCGTTCACCGCTCCACGCGATCCGCACACTCCTGCGCACCCTATCATACGCTCCCGATTCGACCAATTCTCTGATAATGCTATTGACATCGCAGAGAACTCGCCACTACAGGTTGCGGGGCAGGCGTTTTTCATCACGAACGGCGAGCCAGTGTACTTCTGGGATTTCATGCGCCTTATATGGCTTGCGCTAGATCCACCTTCATCAAAGCTCCCGTCGGGCGCATCGGAGCGGGCGCAGAAGCCTGTGTGGGTGATACCTAGGGGTTTTGGAATGGTGCTGGGCTTCCTTGCGGAGTGCTGGGCGTCCTTGATCGGCAAAGAGGCTGGGTTCACGCGATATAGGGTTGGGTATAGCTGCGCTACGAGGTACCACAATATCGAGAAAGCAAGGCGTGTGCTTGGCTATGAACCGGAGGTTGGGCTGGAGGAGGGTGTTAGAAGAATGGTGGAGGTAGGTGTTGTCTGCTAGTCTTATTCGGTGTGACTGATTATTTTTTCTTTCCGTGCAGTGGTTCAAGAAGGACAATAATCTTCCGTAATGGCTTTAGATGCCTGCTATCTGTTTTGGATCAACTACATAATTTCATTGTGCACTTTGTTCAGATACCCGCGCATTTTGCTTCATTTCCTACCTTATTGATATGGACGATGCACAGTTATATCTATGCATTCGTGGTCAATGCCCTGTTTGGCTGGCTGCCAATTCACCTACAAACTGTGTATCGTAGCAGCAATATTTGTACTCGGGGATTTCATGGAAGTCTTACATTTGCATCAATATCAATGGCGAAGGACCTGCAAGAATGGAGTGAAGTCATTGATACTCAACGCAGTTTCCAGTCCACAATGAATTAATATTGTCTTTACTTCATATGCAAAATGCAGTTGGAGAAACTCATGTAACAAGAAAACACGAAGCATTAATCATGAGTCAAGTAACTCAAGATATGCAGCCCGGCAAACCATTCCAGCCCGATCGCGAATTTTGACCAGCGGATGAGACTCTCCGGTCCTGTAGCTACATCAATCGACACTTCCCACGAGCGAGAAACCCATACCTCTGTGCTTGCTGTCGCAATTCTAATAGCACTGATACTGGGACAGCGCCTATGGCGAAACCTTCTCCACGAGATAAGGACATGTTGCCAGTAGTAACATACCCAATGATAGACGTCAGGGGAGGAGCAGCCTCAGGGGGCTAAGGGAGCACACCAATCTGCGAATGCATGATCAAAGGGGAAAAAACGACGAACCTCATTGGCACCCGCACCCTCTCGTGTTTTTCCCTTCTCCTTAATGACCTTGCTGACTTCGACATCATCAATGCGGTAGATGATGGCGAGGTCGTTCGGGGCGCCCCGACTGACCATCCTCAGACGGACCATGACCAATGCCCCTTTGAGGAGATCCTCGGGGCAATAATTTGCATCGAGTGCATTTATACCACGTTTGGCCCGAAGCCTGTTGATCTCTGCAAGGAGACCAGCGCCATGATTAAACATCTGAGTTACTTTTGCTAGGATAGTCGGCACTTCGGGACCACGGAGCAACCACGGGCGAACGCTCGGTGCTTTGTCAACTTCCATCGCATCCTGAGGCCCTCTTTGTGCCGGCACCAGGTTCCCGTCTACGCCGGATGCCACCGGTAGCCCAAGGACAACTTCCCAATCCGCCCGCCATGGGCTACGGGTACCAAGCTTCTTATAATTGGCTCTCTTCGCTGGTGGCGTCCTGTTCCACTTTGCTCTTTCCTTAACAGCACACTCCTCCCAATGTTTGTCGTAGAAATCTGTACAAGGAAAATCTCTCGGAAAATACGCAGTGCCTGCCTCGAAGGCTTGTGAGCCTCGTTCTCGCTGTCCGCCGACGCGTGTGCCGGTGTGTATCAGTGAGGGGAGGAAAGGCATGCCCCACCCAGCTGGAACAACAAGCATCCAGCCATGGATGCCATGAGTGCCGGAAGGTGATTCAAGCGAGCGCTGTATGAGCAACGATGGGATACGATCATCCTGGCGAAGGGGGTTAAGAGGCGTGCCTGGAACAGGATTCTTTGTGTGCAAGTCACTTATCGTACCTCATTACGAGGGTCAATGAGAGGCTTACCGTTGAGCGGCGCGCATCAAGATCTTTCTTCTTGTATGTAGGTTTTTTGAGCGCTGAACGCTTCTCTTCATCCCAAATTTCGCTTCGAGCAAGAATAGCTGCAGGAAACGTCATTGCCGGGGTGGCAGGGTGCTGACCGTCCATTCTGATTTTGGCGTTCTTAGGCGGAAATCTAAGCGGAAAGTTACTCGTATGGGCAAGTCGAGTAGCCAGAGATGCCTACTTCAGTCGTGGGTCAAGGACCCTCATCCCGATGACTATTCCGCGTGGTAAGGACGCGGTGGTTTGGAGATCAGTCAGGGATGGCCAGAACTATCTGCATTTTCAGATTTTAAGAGGAAGTCGAGTAAAGAACGGAAACACCTTTTTGAACTCTTGCCTGTCATCATCTGCAACTGGAGATAAGGCGCCCTTGATGACCTGACTTGCTTTGGGCCCCATGATTTCAAAAACATTCACTTTGCCTCGCAAATCGGCTATCTCCACTTCTGCATACACATCTTTATGTCGCTGTTTTTCAGCCTCAAGGACCGAGGAAGCAGATCCCCGTAACGCTGCGAAGACGTCGTCGTATACTGCAGGGTGCGAACGTACCCAGATTACTCTCGCGGAACTCTGTTGAGCTGCGTTAGCCGGTGCATTGTTCTTTGCTTTGCGCCTGCGTTTAGAGGAGACTTCCGCCGAAGACGCGTTCATCGGTGCCAACGTGTTCCCAACAGGCAACGGCCGCCACATGATCATTACTGGTGCGATCAAGTCAAAGGGGTAGCTTCCTGATTTGTATAAGTCCGTCTCAAGCACACGAGCACCGGACATGGATCTAATGAATCATTAGTTCGTGCTTCCCCTTCTACCTCACAGGCTGACCGCTTCATTCCAGTGCACTGAGGATCACAGCAAAGATCTAGCACATTTCTAAGGATATTTTCAGGCCCCCTGAGCTCTATGAGCGAGTAGTACGACGAATCGTGCAGGATTGAGCCATGCATAGAGGCTCGATGTGAGGGACGGAATGATTTCTCGGTCGGTGTCACTGCCTGGACAAAGCATTCAGAAGGAGCCTGCAACTACGAATTTGGAGACCAACGAGTCTATACCCCCACATGTTCTCCATCTTCATCCGCTTGGCGTGCCAAATGTGAGTCTCGAGCCAGGTCTTATCGCCTGCCAAACACATCGTAAGATAAGGAGCACGCAGGATCATACATTTACTGACGTTGTCGCTTCAAGAGGGATTCAGTGCGGCTCACTTGCTTTGTTTTCCCCTGCTTAGAGCGTCCACGCTGTAGTATGCGCCTAGTGACAGGGACCATCTAGCAAGCAAAATAAGAAAAAATTCGGAGGAACTGGTTTGAGCCTCACCTCGGCGCGTGCTTTGTCTCGCAAACGCAAGGGAACACGGCGAACATCATGGCTAGCTGCCCTTCGTCGTAGATGGCGGGGAAGAGTCTGCCATGCGCGATGAGTCCCACTTTCCCTGAAGACGCAAAATCAGTAGTTATATATATTAAGACACATGCTCCTAACCCCGCTGTTTTGATCGCTTTTTGCATGGCATCGATCTCATAGGCTCGAGCCTAGTGTTTCGCAATTGAATAATATAGGACTAAAATCGGCCAAAAGACGCACCTCTGTGAACATTTCCACATCGATCGAGGCAGGTAATCCCTGCATAGCTATTACAGGTAAATATCAAGTGAAGAAACGATATGCGAAAGATGCTTACAGTCAAATCGAACGGTGGTACTTGACGGTCCAGCGAGCGCGTTTCCTGAAGATTGGATAGTCCCACTACCACTGGCTGATACAGATGGCTGAACTGCAATTGTCCGAGCGCCTGCTACTTTAAGTTTCTTCCGTTCCCGAGACGTCATTTCTCCCGTGTCGTCCCCCTTACGTTTTAAAACCATTTGTGCTTGATGTTAGATGATGCAATGTTTCCCCAAGAGAGAGTCCCAGATCTAGTTCATGGACTCACTTAGCACTGGTAGAAACTGAGGATAGGAAGATGGCGAACACGAAATCTTTGGACTGAAAGAACGTGAAGAGTTGTGCCACAAACGCGACCTCGATCGGCTAACGCCGAATAACATCCTTCCTCTCACCACCATGGCCTCGCGTTGTCTGGCTCTTGCCCCAAAATTTGCTCAGCGTTCAGGCGCACGATTTCTATCGACATCTAGAGTGCTACGGGAAGAGGCATCCACTTCACCCAACCTAGGGACGGTGCAGCCGCGGAAGAGACCGGTCGGGGGCTTTCGGGGAGGGTAAGCAATATTGCACGCGCCTTGCTATATGATCTCACTCTTCCTTCTTGTCGCTGGCGCAGAATAATCGGGTTTTTGTTTGGATTCTCGCTAGCTTCCGCGTTTGCTGCGTACCATCTTTTAGACGAGTATAAACTCGCTTCTGCGGCGCTGCAGGCCAGCGTGCAGGAACTACAAGCAAGCACAGAAAAGGTTTGAGACTTTTGCTCTGTGTGAAGCATCCCGTTTATGTGATCTATAATTTCTGCAGGTGTCTGCACACGTCCGTCGTATCGAAGCAGTGGAGAAGGACTTGAAGGCGCTTTCTCAGAGCTCCGCAAGTAAAGACGACCTCTCAAGGGTTCGTGCAGAGCTCAAGAAAGTGTACGATGGATTGCACATCGGTATGTTGTTGCGCTTAGACAACAGTGGATGAGCTTACAGACTTTGGACAAGAATTCCTTGATTTGAGATCACATGTGTGGGGCATGCGTCAGTCATTATTGTGTTTATTTGATGTCTACCACTGACGGAAAGTTTGGAACAGAACAAGATTTGCATTCGTTAGCCAAGAAAGACGCCACGTCTGTTCGCGTATAGAGTTGTCATACTTACCTATAGAACTCATTGGAAACCTCCCTCCAACAACGGCTTGAAATTATCTTGACGGATATAGAAGTCAACTCCATGACCCTATACGATTTTCTCATAATGAAAGCCACAGCGAGGAGCATCCCCAATTTCCCTCTGATGCTTAACTTATTGCTCTAAAGTTTGAAACAGAATAAGTCAGAGGAAACTGCTTTACGATAATAAAAAGGCCTTCATCTTTTTTTTTTGGCATAACCGGTGTCAAATTTGTGCCCGCCAAGTGGTAGTTCATTCTGCACTTCGCCTTCAATGCATCATAATCCTCCCCCTTGCTCCGGGTAAATGTCACGTCAGGACTCTGAGTTTTGGAAGCACGTCTACTACTTCAATAATGGGCTGGATGGACCACATCCTCGCGGCTCATTTTTTGTTCCTCGCTATACTGGAGTACGGCGGACGGTTCACTAAAAATCATCGAGCGGGCGTTGCAATTTATTGTCAGCCTTGGTCAAATTTTCAGTGCATTTTTGCTGGTGCAGCCGCAGCTTGGAGAATACAAGAGATTTGTGTCAGACTCCATGACGCAAGTCGAGAACGTGGCCTCTGTCCACATCATGGCAGACATCAGGATACTAGAAATATTGTAAGAATATGCGTTTCAACGAGACTATAATCGAGGGTTCCATGCACATTGATAGTTGTTACACTTACTAGACAGTGGTGCACGCGCCCATAGAGTTGGCGAGAATCAAGAAGACAAGGCATGCTTCAATCTGGTTGTTGTGTTTATTCGGTCTCCACCACTGACGAAATATTAGAACAAGGCTTTCAAACATCACTGCGAAGTTTGACACAGAAAAAGCCTGAGGAAATTGTTTCACAACGACAGAATCACCCAAAGAGTGATACATAGTTCCACCCTTTACCTCATTCACGTATTGGTGCTCTGGAGTCTGGATGCTTATTATACGCCAGGACTCCAAGCTTGGGAATGAGTATGATGTGTTTGATTGGTGTGGTTTAAAGAGCATACGGTGCTTAGACTTACAGATAGTAGGTCCTCAAGGCTGGCTTTTTTTTGAGGATATAGCATGAATGTCCCATGCGTACACATTTTTGTCTAATTTTGTCTTGACAAGAAGTGACCAGCACTTTTCCATCGGCGGGAAAGGCTACGCAGTGTAGTTGATCTTCGTGCTGGAGGGGTGGAACGACTGGGAGGTTGGTTTCGAGATTCCGTAGGCGCACTAGTACTGTTTTGTCGTCTGACGCACTTGCAAGTAAAAGTTCATTAATCCCAGACAAGGTGAAGGTGTTGACAAAGTAGTCTGGCAATCTGGCTCTGCATCCAAGTGGCTGTGTCGAAGATCCTTATCGGGCTAATATATGACGCGGAGACGAATCTGACGTTCATGCTAAGCAGCTGGGAGGAATGGAAACTCTAGGTCTGCAGTGTAAGTCACTCAAAAGCGGCAACTACCGACATCAAAATTTGTAATTCTATCTACACCTTCGGAAAGACAACTTTCGTCTTGAAAACATTACAAATGGGCTATGGTAGAGTAGTATAGTAAGTCTATCAGAACACTTTTTCATAAAACTCAAGTTTCATAATTTTCGTCAGCCAAAAGTGAACTTCGAGCGGAGCTTGTCGGAGTTTCCTATTTGGGTATGCGGCATCTGACGGCCGACTCCGTGATTACTCGAGAACAACCCAAACTCATTAGTAATGTAGTATGTACTGTACATGCGATTTGTACTTCTTAACTGTTACAGCAAATTCAGCTTGATGGGCATCAGGACTTTTCCTTGACACTGAGAAGGAACTATGAAGCTATATATATATATCACTGTCTAATACGAGACTGAATGACAATGCTCCATAAAAGTTGGACACAGAGTCTACTTCACTTTCAGCATCTGAGACAGGCACATAGTCTGTGTCCAGAAAGACTTCCAAAACATCTTCTATCAGCCCATTGTCAAAGCGCCTCGATGGTGAAGCGCTGCTTCACTTGCTTCTTTTGGTAGGTGAAGCCATTTGATGGCAAAAGTGAACAATTACGTAATCAGGTGAAATTTCGGAAATTTAGATTTACGCTCCATTTGTCTATGTTTCCTATCAAAATTTTAATCTGAGCATGTATGGATCAAAATTGCAACCTAGGGAGAGTTGCCATCCCTTGGTGACAGACACTGTAGTCTACGTAGAGTCTATTATGGGTCCTGTCTGGGTCCTGTCTGGGGGTGTGCCAGCCGCCCAGCCAGATTGAAACAGAGTTCAATTCCAAATCAGGAAGATGTGAGGCAGCTTGGAAGTCACACGTCGCGACTCAGTGTTCTGCCAGTCAACGAACATTTGCCAAAGTTAATGTACGTTCAGCGATGAACTTTCACATGAATGCAAGTAAACTGAACTTGTGGAGTACCAGAAGTCCTGTCTGAATATTATATAATTGCATTGTGATTGGACAATGAAGCAAAAATGAACCACAGAGCCGCTGCTGCCGCAGAGTCGAAAAACTCATATCATCTGCTAGTAGCAACATATTCAATGTTCTCTGAGTCAGTACAGTATGAAACAGCAATAAATCTATTCAGCAAGGACATCATCAACTTGAGGAAACTCCGGATCTTCAATTCCTTCTGCATCTAAGTCGAGAAGCTCGTACAACTCAAGCTCAGCATCTAAACCTTGGATGGCTGTTTTATAGAAGGATCCTAGCCATTCCTCAGCGTGAGAGTAGTCGAGTAAATCACTGATAGGGATACGAGTGAATGGATCAGTGGTAGGTGCTGAGTGCATCATTTCCTCAGCAACAACAGCTTCCTCTTCATCAACAGCTTGAATGAGGTTGTGTGCGAGCTGACTTATCCCTTGCCTCTCAAAGGCAATGCTGTGCTGTTCTTGCTCATCACTTCCTGCATCTGAATCATTGGTTGCCTGTGTTTTGGCAGAGCTCTTTCTCGTCACAGTACTGGCACTTAAGCCGCTTCTTGATGACATTGTTGCGTACATGCTCTTTATGAACATACATCTTGAGTTCAGTGAGGAGTGTGAGGGTTTCTGTTGAGAGCCGATTTCGCCATTTCGTGAGAATTGCACCAAAGACACTGAAAAGGTGCTCGCAAGAGGCAGAATTTGGGCAGATAGAGAGAAGGCACAGGGCAATAGAGTGAAGTGGTCTAAGTGGTGACCCAGGATGTGACAGTCCGTCCCAGATATTAATTGGATCAACTGCAATACCCTGAAGGCAATTTTAGTAATTTTTCTTGAAAAATCAACTTGACTGCAGACCTCCTTCTCAGCGCGAGATAACAATGCAAACTTGTAGACATCTATGTGCGCGAAGTCACGGGAACCACTCATATAGTCCTCTAGGTCTGTGTAAAGATCAAGTGGTGCATCCTGAGTTGAAAAAACAGCTCCAAAGACATCCAAAAAGTACCGCAAGCCCCGCACGTGTTGTGAGAGGTATCTTTTTGAATGGCAAAATCTTGTAGAAAGGATTGACAATGACAGCAGCAATAAAAACTTCTTGGTCACATTGTCCCCAGTGGCGTTCAGCACTTGCAAGAACAGCTGTACGAGCAGCAAGATCAGTGTGATTTTCAATCTTGGAGTAACAAAGATGCAGGAAACCAAATGGAATCACAACATGTTCAGGTCTTGCTTGGGCTGCTTGGTGAATATTCATCATGAGGGAGATTGGTTCAAGCAGAGTTTTCCATCTACAAAGAGAGTTAGTTTCATTTCATAAAATTTTATTATTTACTTTACTGTGCCATTGCATGCCAGAATGTTGTGTTTTTTATTGTGTTGATAGCAGTTTGAGTCTTCCTGCGTGATCATGCATCTCCGCTTGACATTAGATTAGCCTCATGCTTTGTAACAAGCAGTTCAAGGGCAGGTCGAAGCTCAAGAAGACGACGATATGCGAGATAGTGTGATAACCAGCGTGTCAGCACTGCTCTGAGAACCGCGAGTGTTTTTCCAATGGTTGCCATCTGTATCTCACGGAGAATGGCAAGTACTTGTGTCTTGCTGCATAACCATGTAATTAACTCCTGCGCCATATCTCCATATACCCTGTAGTCATCTTTGACCTTGAAAAGGTCTCCGACAATAAGATTCCACTTATAAATCACCCATAAGTACAATTTCATATCAGTTCCGATGTAAATTGCCATACCTGATGAGCTACACAATCAGGAACAACAAGGTGTGGAAATTTCTTTCAAAGTAGACAACGGGCCTTTCGAGATTCGCCAGATGCATCTGTAGTGCATGCAACCACAGTGGCCCCCCATTCAGTCTCGATCTTGCTGATTGCCTCTAATATCTGCCGAAGAAGTTCTTCAGCTGTCCAAGGATCCCTTGATGCATCGTGAACTTTGACTGTATGTAACTACATTGACAATTAATTAATATTCTTGACACTCGCAGCCTTCACGGACATACCTTTCTCTGTGCTGTCATCATGAAGCCCAGAAGGTGGTTGTTACGACTTGGATGGTATCTGTTGGCGACGCTCAAACAGAGCCTGTGTCGTCAACGGTCTGTGGACGTCCTTGGGCTAGCCCAAGGTTAGGGGTCGTACTTGGCGTGTCTTCGGCAAGTACGATTTGACGCCTATGTCCAAATCGGGTAGCTTATGTCACGCGGGTGCGAGACGATAAACTATATCGGCCTAGGCTTACGACACCCAAAGGTTAATCGTAAGGATTATCGTTAATTAGAAGGACAGAAGTCCAACTAGTTAACAGGGGCTTTGTTCGTCAACGAAGTCAATGAGCAAAGGTCGAGACTATAGGCTTATCCGCGAAGAGCAGATAAGAAGATAGAATATAGACTGCTGGCGAGGCAGAAGGATCACTCTGGTGAGAGTAGGAGGTCAAGAACCAAGTAGATTCAAGTTAGGGAATATGGTACATGGTAGCGAGTTTATATAGAGGACAGGGGACGTATTAGTGGATGATAACTCGTACTACCGGGAGAGGCAATTGGTGAAGGGTAAGACCATAATAGGGAGGCACGTTCAATCTAGGTAGAACGTGCTGGATAAGAAAGTGAGTCAAAGATCAGAATGAGAAGTGAAACACGCAGGGGCATGATCATGCAACTGCGGATCTAAGTATAAGTCGCATGTGCGACTGCGCACCGAGTCAGAGATCAAGAAAGGAAAATAGGGCAAAGGGGATGCGTCATGCATCGTGTCATAGGTTACCGTCCAGACGGTAAGGGCAAGGGGACTGTCCGCAGGATCAGTCAGGTGGTGAAACGGAGCATGGGTATGCTTCGTCAGCGAAAGGATCCGGCCAAATGTACTGGCTTTGCTGAAGCGACAGGTAGAGGGCGAAAGGGAATGCGAGGATGACGAGGATGACAAGGGTAAGGTCGGGGTAAGGGTATGATGCGAGGGCTGATACGAGGAGGATCAGGAGAAAAATAGTAGGGGCCCAAGCGTCTAGATGTTCTTGTAACAGTGGTGATGATTTTCACCTGTCCAGCCATCGCACTGCAAGGTTGCATTGGCACCTCGGCATTCATCTTTAGCAATAGTCTTAAGTGTGTTGAGGGTTTGCGGCATGACATGTTGTCTAAGGACTTTTGCCAAAGGTATTTTTGCTCGAGGAAGGAAGTGATCACATAAAACTTTCCATTTGTAATTCTCAACCCATTGCAATGGTAAACCAGCACTTTCAGTGAGCCTTGCAAGGCCAATCTCCCAATCAGCTTGGTCCAAAGCTGACCAAGGTTGGTCACTAAAACCATAGAGACTTTGTCCCAGCACAACTGGGGAAAGAGGTGGAAGCGAGCCAGAAACAGAGCGGAACAAACCAGATTGATTTAGACGTTGGTGTTTCCCTAGCTGGGATGGTAATGAAACTGCGGAGAGTGCCGGACTGACTGAAAGAGAGTTGTGGGTATAGAGACTAGAGGAACCTGATGACACAGTCTCAGGAATCAGCAGGGTAGGCAAAGGGCGCACAGACTCAGACTCTGGAACAGATGGAGCATTAAGAGCTGGCATGGTGAGAATTATTGGTTGTATACCAGTCGGCACTGTCATATGAGCCCGAGTATTTTTTCGTGGTGAATGTTGTTCATGGTATTCGAGTTGTGCTTGTGAACAAATGTCTTCTGAGTGCAATTCACATTCGCGCAAGTGATGTAACAGTGTTGATGGCCAACTAATCAACCAGACATGCTGGGAATCGTTCTGATCAATAGCCCATACTATATTTCAAAGTTAGCGGGAGACACTGGCAGTGGTTACACAAGAGATCACATACAAGCACCTGCAATTGCAGCTTCGTCTCTTGGTATATCTCACTGGCCTGCTTGAATTTGCTGCTCATCGAGTGCCTGCTCATGAGTTATGCATTGCTCATAAAGCCTCGCACATATAACTTTTGCCTTTCCACTGACTACAGAGGCACTTTCTTTCGCAGCATAACCTGGGTGCACTACAAAGTGGTCCCACCACCATCCTCTGTTTGATTTCTTGCCGGTCTTAGTCATTGAGGAATTCAAGTCAGTAAAGGTGTGTTGAAAGATGAAATTGGCAGTCTATTGTCAGGCCACGAGTTCTTGAAGTGTGCCTCCAGCTGAACAGGTGAAAGCTGCATGTTGATAACAAGACTGCGCAGTGTGCAAAGATATCAATTTGATAATGATTGATCAATATTGATATGGTATAATCTGACATGGTAGGACCAGAGAACCACTCGAAGTCATGTTCAAGTAAACGATGATGAACTTCACCAATTTTCCCATGAAACACGGTCAATAACCATGACCTTGAGTCACTGACTGGCAGAACACTGTGACTCACGCCCAGTGAGTACTCACACACACACACGACGACTGCGCCAGCCCCTAGCTCGTCTAGACTCGTAGCTAGCCTGATTGTGCGTCAATTTGAGATGGTGAGAAATTTATTGATGTAGTCAGACTGGTTGAACTCAGAGTGATTTGGCAGGCCAAGCAAGGAATTTGAAATTTGGCAGATGCCAATATGCCACTTTGGGTAGCATTGTGATCGGGACTACCACGGTGCGGCACGACTGCTGAGCACCAGGCCTAATATAGCTCATCGACATTCACCGTGACGATCACGCACCCAGCAGGGCCATGGATGTTGTCACTCTCTTTGCGGGACTCTCCAATGAAGCCGAACTCGCAGGCCTGTTATATTTGTCTTTAACCGCTTTGTTAACTCAGCCAGTATGATCAAAGATGACATCCTCCTTCCTCAGCCTTACAGAATTTCTACCTCCTTGGCACTTCATTTTCTACCACCCAGCACCACCAGATTTCTAGGCGAATCTTTTGGTCTTTCTCAACATAGGAAATAGCAAGCGGGAGGCGGCGGGTGGTATACCGTAGGCGTTACAAGCTGACTCATATCGTCCCGATTTGGAATTGAACTCCGCTTCAATCTGGCCGGGCGGCTGGCACACCCCCAGACAGGACCCATAATAGACTCTACGTAGACTAGACCTAGAATTTCCATAAACCTTACATTCACTATAATGTGATGTTTGAGTGTGGCGAGCAACTTGCCCGTCTTCGCATCCCAGATTTTGACTTCACCACTGTTGCAATTTGTTTGTTATTGGGCGACTACATCGCCGCCCACACATCCTCAAAGTGCCCATTCTTGATTTCCATGACATCCCGTCATAGTAGGATACGCTCAGCAAGTACTCTATTAACATCCGCACTCCAACACACTGACCTCACACCCCAGTGTGCCCTGTCCATTCTGTAACCACTTTTCCTGTCTCGACATTCCACACCTTCACTTTCCCATCTCCACTTCCGCTGATAACTATCTTCCCGTTTGGAGACAACGCAACGCTGCGCATCCCAGTTTCCTCATCTTCCACGTGGTGATCCGCCGTCCCCCAGGCAGGTGCATAACCCCACATTTCCAGCTGGTATCGTCTCGCATCGTCTGACGGGGCATCACTAATAGTATCTGTTGCTTCATACTGGTCTGAGAAAACATCGTCAGCGCGGGGAAGGTCTCAATCATAGCAGACCTATGTGATGAAAGCCGCCAGGAAACAACAAGTTGTCTGGCAACGGCAAATATTCCTGGTGAGCTGTGTCTGCGACTAGCGCCACTGCGCCAGCTGCATTACATCTTGACTGCTTCGATGGTGGCGAACGGCATCTCTTTCCATCTCACATGTTGCTAGGAGCGTCATATCTGTCATTGTGTTCAAAACGGTGGAAAGTTTACTGCGAAAGGCAAGCAAATATACTCTCTTGCGTTGAGAATGCGTCATGTAGGCTTCCTTCATATCCATCCTTTTGCACTGTCATGTAACACTTGCATAGAAATCGATGAGAAATTTCAGACCTGCTATCTACTGGGGAATTGTCCAGCTGCTCTATTATCATATTCTCGTGGAAGGGTTCCTCGACCTCGAATTCTGCAAAAACTCAAAAGACGGGGCGCTCTGGAATAGGCTCAGCCGCTTCCCCTCACGAAGTCGACCAACGAACGAACAAACAAACAACACGACTATCCCGCAAGACAAAGTCGGGCACATAGGAAAAAGCGCTCATGCGTTACACAGGCAGATTCAAATCAACGTTCGGTGGGATTTCGAATGGCTAAGAACTTTATCCACGCGACTCTACAGTACCAGCACATTGTAATAATATCCTCGCTATCTCAGAGACCGGAGGAAAGATGTGCCGGCCGAGACCACAATGTAGGGAACGAAGTCACAAGCAAGCCTTTCCACCGCATATTTCCTTCTGTACAAACTCAGCGTCGGCCTTTGCCCGACATCATGCTGGCAGAATTCTCATTCTCCATCAATAACACGACAGCGCATGCACCCACCATATACATTAGTTTAGGCCGGAGTAAACCCCATGCGAAGTCCGACATAGGGTCCTCAACTCCAAACGACAATATTTTTTTTCAAAACGAAAGTCGGGTACCGGCGGCTCCGGTTGCCGGTCGCAGATCCTAGGCATGGTTGTGGTAAGTTCGAGCCTTATACGTATTATCCATCTGTTGACTTCGATAGACCGTTGATTCGGAGCTGGAGATCTATTTCCATGAACATTGTTTACCCTGGGACTCCGACATTTTGTTTTTGTCTGTCCCTCCAATATGTTCTTCCGACGTCCTCGATGGGAAGGTCTGTCATTCACCAGGTGCAACCAATATAACTCATCAATGACATCGGGGCCGTTCATCAGGCATATCTCTTTATCGTCTCTGCCTTCAGGAAAGCCGCTACGTTACACTACTGCTGTAATGACCGAGAGTTCACCTGGGAACCTGTAAAGCCACACGATCATTTGAGCTACGGTACATTGGCACACAGTCCTCGGTGTTGTGTTGTCCTTCAGAGTATACGAGAAAAGGCCGATGAGCGCTTGAACATGCATCTCGTTGTTGACCATGCACGTTTGTAGGACGAGCCTTGCTGTTATTTTTGGCGAGGTACAGCCTGACGGTATGACCTTGCCGAGACCCATGATCAAAATTTCGCAGACTCGGAGGCACGGATCACTCCAATATTCTTTCTTTGCCTTTGATATGTTCTTCCGATATTGTCGATGCCAAGTTTTACCATTCCAGGCGCAACCAATCTACCAAGCCAATAGGTGAATTTCCAAGACATCCTCGTCTTGCAGTTCTGCCATCCATATTCACCAGGCGCTACCAAACTGCCAAACCAATAGAACTTCGAGTCCTACCCACAACACTATGTTCACAGTATAAAAGCAAGCCGTGTTCAGCGTAGTATCCCTCACCTCAGTTATTTTAGTCAAAGTTCCTCGTTACAAAACTCGTATCACCTCACACAAATCATGCAATTCTCCTTCATCGTCGTCCTAACTGCTTTGACAGCATGCATGTCTGTCACTGCGTGCAGCAGCACGGGACAGCGTTGCTACAAGGACAGTGACTGCTGCAAGAAAAATTGCGGTGACAGGAGTGTGAGTATGAGCAGTTGACTTTGCATCCAGGATCGAACCCCATCACTCACCTCGTAATGCCAATAGCTTGAAAATCACTGGTTTTGTTCATAGGATGCCTACCGATGGGCCAGTCGATGACTCAACGACTCAGGGGCACAAGTAGACAGTGAGTCGTATTTCTAGCTTTGCATTGGCATTGATTGTTATTGATGCACAAGATACGCAGTTCGTTGCTGACTCGGTTTCGGATATGGTTGCTTCTAGTCTAAGAGTTTTGATCAATTTCACTGGTGCATGGGGAGTGGTGTCAGCGCCTGTTGAATCAATAGAGACAAATCAATATGATTTTTGATTTTGACCGAGACTTGAGGCATGCCGTACTATAATGAGCGATTTGATTGTGTCCAAATAAGCGCCCCCATCGAACAGCTACTATCGCCACACAGCGTGTCATTCTATATGTATATGGCTCAGGGAATGTAGGTAGATTCTGTTCTGGGTACCATTCCGCCCTGAATCCCCTGATGCTAATTCGGCTATTTCCATTTCGTCACTACGCTTCGACTATGCACAGCGTACAGTACACCCGCTCATATTAGTCCAGTCGCCGACGAGACGGAGTCACTGCGTCCGCTGAACTGCCTCAAATTTAGTACCGGACCGAGGTCAAGGTAGTCACTTGATTCGATGGTAACACAGCCACTGACATGCAGTGTCAGTAAGGCGCCTGCAACTGACAGCATGCGAAATTGGCTCAAATAACAGGTCTCTTCATCTTCACCCCATATCTCTCACTACCCTCGATTAGTAACTTTGCGCAGTGTTTCGCTGTCCAGTCCGTCATCCTTAACTGACCAAGGTCATGCCACAAGAAGAGGCCGAGTCAAGCACATCAACGAGACGGGGAGAAGCGGTACAGCTAGTGCACTCGCCGATATATCGGACGAGCGAGAGGGATCCACCACCATATGGTGCACAGCACCGTCAGGATGCACTTTGGGAAGGTGAGCAGCTCCCTCGTGATACCCACTGGCTTGCTCAATTAGAAGCAGGTGGGAATGGAGCGCTTCCTCC